GTACCAGCTAAGCCCACGCCTGCTTAGCTTCAATCATTCAGCTGAAGCAGGATTCATGTTGGTATGTTTACTGGCTATGTGATACAGTATAGTAATCAGGGTATACATGTGTGCCCTACAGGACAAAATTGCTGTACCATAAGTTACATGTGTCTATTTATCAAGGCCCAAATAATTGAAGGTTACATGCTGTTAAAGTTTCACTATATCTTGTAACTTTTTAACACAATATCACACATTTATTTATTTATGGTAAATGGACCTGTATTTGTATGGCGCCTTTCTAGACTTCCGACCACTCAAATCGCTTTTACACTACATGCCACATTCGCCCTTTGATCCACATTCACCGATAATGCAGGATACTTTGACATGCAGCAGGGGATCGAACCAACAACCTTCTGATTAGTGGATGACCCGATCTACCTCTGAACTCTATGTACAGTCTGTACTGTGGATCTTTGTGTCTCTATTAATAAAGAAGTTGAAAAAACAGGTATATGTGAAACTTCTACACAATAATTTCAGTTTCATCTGTAGTGAGGCTGTCAACAGAAGCCTCACAGCTCCATCTGCTGTTACAGTTTGAGAGTTTGAATCGATCTAATTCAAAGGCAAGGCACTGCTGACCTAAAATCAAACTTATGGCTAAAGGTGCAGATAAAGTCAATTGCCAAGCTGACAAGTTAACAGGCTGACAGGCCAGGTGAAGGAATTGAGCCAAAATGTGTTTTATAAAACCATGGGTGCCTGAATGTGTGTGAATGTATCCGTGCATTGAGTAAAGAAGAGTGAAGAGCTAAATGAACACAGTGGTGGCATTTAAACAACCCATACACTTTCACACCTTTCTGTTGAGATAACGTCTCACCAGATTTTCTATGAGCAGTGTTTTAGTAAACAGGCCCCAAAGATGGTCCAGCTCCTGTTGTCCACTGTGAGTTCCAGCTTACATACTCTGGCAGAAGATATAAAGTTACCTGATATAAAATATCAGTAACAAGACAGATCAAATCTGCAGTTACAAAATTGCCAACCTGCATTGGGGTTACACAAAAACAAAGTTTCCGCCCAGCAGAGGAAGGAAGAAAATTTGACGTCACCAATCAAAAGTGAAAACTAATGGGAAACTACAGAGTCACATCTTCTTTTGGATTCCAGACGACAGCAGGGACAGCAGGTTTGAGGATCTTCACTCACACTGACTTTCTCTTCCTTAATCCAACTTTTTAACCATTTTCAAAATGATTTTGTGTGTAGTTTTAGACATCTTGGGAAAAGTTTGTTTTATACAACTGTGAATACAGAATTTGACAAATCAAATGCAGTTAACAGAGCTTGATCTTATTCTACTGTTTTGCCAAATATATGTACAAAAAAGACCAAACCGGCTGTTTTAAACGGTTTGGGTGATTTTTGGGTGACTACTGAAATTTGAAGGAGATGAAATTATAAGACAATATGAGTGTTTACTGAATGCACTTTTACATTTTTGAAGCATGGAACAAGTTTTGTCTCTGATTGTCTTTCAGAAAGCACATAATCGAGTTGACAAACTTGGCGATGGCTTACAACAAATGTTTTATCGTTGCCCTATTTCTTCTTTCCAGTAAGTATGTTTTTTTTCTTCTTCTCCTCGCTTACGCACAAAGGTAAGGTGGTCTTACACAGGAAAATGAAACCACAAACATGTTGCACGGCGGAAACTTAACTGCCAAATGTGTTGCTGCATGCTGCAGCAAAAGATCTGATGTTTTCATGTTTGTTTCCTTTCTTTCTCTAAGACCTGGCTGTGGCACACACAGGTATGTGCAACAAAAAGAGGACATACACCACTCTGAAATGGAATTTTTATGAATTTTATCGTTTAGAAAAATAAGCAGCACAAATAAAGAGACTCATTTTTTCCAGTCAGTCTTAGCTCACATCCTGCATCCCACTCTTCTTTTCTGTCTGTGTGCTCATTCACTGTCTGCCTGCGGTTTGCTAGACAACACAGTGTCTTGCTACAGGATTGAGCCGGGGACAATAGCAGGCATCATCTGTGCAGATGTGTTGCTGACTCTTATCATTGTCATTGTCACCTACCGATGTGCCAGCTTTCGGCGTCAGAAGATAGACAATGGTGAGGAAATGGGGTTGAAATGAATCATTTTCATAGTGTTTGTATACATACATTAGTGTTGTGTGTTACAGTAAAAGTGTTGTAGACAAGAATGTTTATAAAGGCTTCTTAGAACTTCTTATGCCTTTTCATACTCCTATTCTATTATCATACAAACATTTTTCTCTTTACATTCTTAAAAGTTTTTGGCCTCTTTTAATTTTTACATTTATTTATTTATTTAAATGTATCCCTGCCAAGGGTCCATGTGATCTATAATATGACTGTATCCTCACTGACTTGATTTTCTTTGTGCATTTGGTAACTTTATATTATCAAATAATAATCTGTCAAATAATAAATTCTCTCTCTTTGTGTCTCTCTTCTCATCTCTTCACAGCTGACAAAGTGTATATGAATGTCCGGGCCAACCTCAAGAGCTAGTCTAAAGAGGATGTGGTACAACATGAAACTATTATAATTTTTTAGATCATCTTTATATATATATATATATGGTACAAAATGTTATAAATGAGTAACTCAAATGTGGAGTATCTTGCACATACCATTTCTGTTCTGTTCATGACATATAATAAACACAGTCATAACTCTTAATTCGTATGACAAAGTATTTTGACTTTCACTTCACTTTCACTATTGTATGCAATGCATTGAATTCACAACTGTTTTAGTGTCCTGTAAAGCTTTAGAACACTTTATGAAGAGCATTTTCGAAATAAACATGTACATCAAATTCATCAATTTCACTGTAACTACACCATATAGCATCCTCTGCTGTTGAGTTTTGGTAGTAACATATCAAAACACTGTATTGTAACAAGCCCTGGAGATTTTATGTAAATATTTTTGTCACAAAATAAAAGACAGATCCAGTGATTTTATGTTTTACAGTGTGTGTCTGACAAACTAAGAACAGAAAAGATAAGTTTTAATAAGTAAAAACAAAAACAAAAAAAGAAGCAACAGGCCTATAAAAAACATCCATGTCTGGCAAGATGTATGTTGAATGGACTTTAATATCTATTTACAAAGGTATAATTTTATAAATATAATTTTGTGTGTGGTTGTTTCAAATGCTTATTTTCTTAATTTTCTATATGTTTCTTAGCTTCAAAAGTTTACGTATTCTGGGTTTTTCATAAATACCTATTCTTATCTATGTTATCATGCTGTACTATTGTGACTTTTGAGAAATGTGACTAACAGGAGACCTGATTAGATTCAAGGCAGTTGATTTGAAGTCCTGCTGTGTGTTGAGGTGATACTGTGGTTAAACTTCTGTCATTTCAATCAAACACACAGAACATGTGGAACAAGCCAATTTAATATCTCTGCAACATCAGTCTGCTCTACCTCCTCTGTAGGTGCTGTATTGTTAACAAAAGGCAGTCTGTGCAGTGCAGTGGAAACATTCTTGAATAGATAACCCAGAGTGATTGTTTTTCGAGAGGCCAACCAAGAGATGGAATTTGAAGTTTATAGCTAAACTCTTCTCATCTCTTCTTACTTTCGCAATATGTGTTGCAGGGAAGTTATGTATGATTAATTTCCCAGTTGGTTGATACAGCTTAAATTCCTATTTGAAAAAAAAAACTATTTTTTTCTCCCATCATCAGCCTATAATCTGTGGAGTGTCTCAAGGTTCAATTCTGGGACCAATCACGCTTTTATTGTTTATCACCTTCTTATAGCGTTTTGTGGATGACACTTACACCTACAGTTGTTCTCACTGTCAAATCCAGCAATTGCACGTTACCCGTTTGGTTTTCTATACTTCTTGATATTAAAAACAACTTAAGACTCTGTCTATGTTGCAAAGTCCCAGGTTCAAGTCCGGCTCATTCTCAATTACAAAATGACTTTTTTTTTAAAGATCACCTAATAATTAAGTAATTCATTAATAAAGTTTTAACAACAATCCATCATGTTTTTAAATAAAAATGTTTGTATTAATAAATGGATTTTCATCCAGCTGCTCTACAGCCTTTTTTCCACAAAGTCAGAGGTCAAACAACCTATTAACCAAAAATTTCAGATGAACTTACAAACTAAAAAGCGCCCTGCTAGAACAAAATAAATGCCAACTAAATGCTTTTCCACAACCTGGTAAACCAAAGACTTCAAGGCTCTTCTGGCTGTTCCTGAAGAGTTTTATAACTATAGTGGATGATGCTTTTGTATTTTCTGGAGCAACTTTGAGAAACTCATGCTTGTTAAATAATAATTGCCAAATATCTAAATTTTATGGAACTTTTAATGGTGCTGTTTAATTAGTGCACTCTTCTTTTGTGTTTTCTGTCTGATTAGTTTTAAAAAATTTTTATCACCATTGTTGTAGTTGTTGTTGTGTCTGTGTATGGATATGTTCAGTGCACATACTGTACACATGTATGCTGTATTTTACATATTGATAATTTGAAATATTTTTTTCAGTCATTTGTATTTTATAATGTATTACATTGTGAAACATGAAAGGTCTCCTTGACTAAAACAATGAAGGCGTGCTTTCATTTCGCTGACAGTACAGCAATTTTTTAAGATAAACCTGTGGTTTAACAATGGCTCACTGACTATAGGTAGCAGGGACCAACCGCCTGCACTAAACCACAGGTCATGAGGAAGTGCTCTATTTGAAGATACGATCGCATGTATTTCATTTCAGCAGAAACTGCAGGTGTAATGAAACTGACCTTATACAGTTCCTTATCTTGGCATCACTTGGTCAAGTTAATTTGAAGAATAAACATTATGTAAAACAAAAAATGGTCTGGGCTGAATCTCAATGATCAAACGTGACAAAAAAAATTGTTTATATGAGACCAACAATCATGACATTACAGAGAGGACACAAACACACCAGCTTCCTCGTTTCTCAGTGGACTCCCTCCTCTTCCTCCTAACACAGTCACATGCTGACAACCCTCTCACTGCCCTGGTAGTAGTGTCACTACCACTATTGCCTGCGAACGCTTCTATTTTGCTGAACCCTCCCACGTCTGGCATCCAGCATCTTGTTTATGGGTGCAACAGCACGGCCATTTCAAAGAGATCAGAAGGACCGGTGGCCCTCAACCTCTCCTCTGTTCCTCCTCTACCAGAAACCAACCCTTAAGAAGATGTCTGACGCGCTTTGTATTGTGGGTTCGTTGTTTGGTGAGTGGTGTGCTATATGTGTTTTGACAGTGAATAATTATAGCAATGATACAGTGACTGTTTTCTTATGAGGTTTTATGAACTCTTTGCCTTTCAGGCTCAGCAGAAGGACAGCAAGGTATCTAACCTTTTGCTACTGTGCTTTGCTAGAATATGATGTTGCCTGTTTTGGTTTTGTGTTATAACTTCTTCTATCTTTCACAGAATGTGGTTCCTGTTACGTAATAAATATGGGATCTGTAATAGGCATTATTGCCTCTGACATTATCTTGACCATCCTCATCACTATTTCTGTGTTCTGCTTTGCAACTTACCACAAGAGACGGAGGGACTGGGGCTCTCATGATGGTGAGCACTAACTGTATGTGCATTGTGGCTAATGTGTGAGTATGCTGGGTGGTAATATGGCAGGTGGGCATTGACACTTTCAATTTTTTTAACAGGTAAAAGAAATGTGCAACCATCAATATCAAAGAAAATGGCAACAGAGGTCACAGAATCTCCCTACCAGGTAAAGCATTATATCAAGCCTCAAAGACAATAAATATGAAAGTTGTTTCAGGTTATATTTAGTCTGCAACTAATTGCTTTGCTTTTTCTGTAGGAGTTACATGGTGTCCAGTCGGATGTGTACAGTGAGCTTCGGCACTTTAGGAAATGAAACAATGTAACAAGAAAATGTCAACAATGTCTGTAAATATTTTCTCAAGCTATAACTGTAGTACTACACACACTTCACATTTTGTCTTCACAATTATGCTATAGATATATATGTATATGTATTTGCATGAAAATGATTATCTTCTATTAAGTAAGTACTGTTTTGTGCAGTTTTTTCTTGTTATTTTTGCAAATCTTAAGCTGTCTTATATACTGTTTATATTTAACTAGTTATAAATTAAACTACATTTTAAAGCCAAAGAAATGAAAAGGATGCATTCTTTACATTCATACCAAATATAACACTGTAGCCTACTGTGTATACGCAGTTTCCACAAATAGGCCTAACACAAAGTTGTCAAAACCTCTTTATTTCTCAAAGTTGTTCACATGATCACATAACAAAAAAATACATGTAAGAATCTAAATTTGGATGAAAAAGTCCCTGAAGCAACTGTATTTGGAAGCAGCCTGCCTGCCTCACATGACTCAACAGATGGCGGCCCCTGAATCATTATGAGGAAGGAATAGAATCTGAAAAAAAGAGAGGAAAAACAATTGTTATTCAACGTTACAGTCATACTGGATGAGTAACAAAGCAAGATCTAGGAAAACTGTTTCATCCTCTAATTAGACGAGGATGGAATGTAACTAATTTAAATGTACATTATGTGGTAAATGTTGTTGAGATATAACCAAAAACTTTTGTCTGATTCAAATGTAGAAGTAACGGACCTCTGTATGATCATCAGGCGGCTCGGCTCTTGGCTGGAACAGACAAGCTACTGGGCATGTGCTCTGGAGGTGCAACAGCACCTATAAAAAAAGAGGATTACAAGAAACTCTTTCAGGAAAGCAGTCACTGTTTGCGTTGGTCATCAACAAATTGTTACAATCTTTGTTAGTAGAAGAAAAAAAAGAGTCCTTACCTGTTGGATACATTTCAGCACTTATAAATTCTCTGGTTTCTGTGGGAATATTAAAATCAATTATTCAGCCTTTGATTGCTCAGAGCAAACTTTTTGGAACAATTTTATTTTATGTAGAGTCTTACCATCATGGTCTGTATATCCTCTGTTGCCCACTGGAGCAGGGTTGCCATTGTTTTCCTCCAAACTATCCCAATCCAGCTGTTTTCTGCTCGGACCAGGGGCCGGCATACCATTAACTCTTCCCGGTGTTGCCCTTCTTTGGAGATTGGTGCCTAGACTGCCGCTGTCAGAAACGTGGTCGCCGTTTAAACCGATAACTTGTTTTCCTGACAGATTTTCAGCCACCTGAGAATCTGCCGTCATCCCTTCCGTACCGTTTAGAAGCTTTCTGCTCCCCTGGTCCCGAACCAGCCTGCTGCTCACATCCATCAGACCCATGTTGACTTTCTCTACTCCTGTTTTCCTCCTTGATGGTGCCTGATCTTTCTCCACAACTTTAGTAATCATGATATCTTGGCTGTCAGGGTCTTTGAATGCATCTGGATAGAATAAAAGTTATTGCTTCAACATCTGCAACAATATTTTCTCTGCACTATAACCAGTGTTGGGCTAGTTACTCAAAAAATATCCTAAAAAATATATTACTCAGTACTCTTTTTTAAAACATTTTCACTTAACTCACTTAATAATAATTACTCCATGTCAACAGTAATTAGTTACACAACTAGTTATATTACTTTTCTGCTACTCCCTACAAAATTGGTAATTGTGTCCCTCCCAACCAAAATTCAGACTTGTTTTTATGTTTGTTAAAATAAAAGTAATGGGAATATTTCCAACTGCTGAATATAACTGTTTCCATCTTTAAAGAAGTTTAATCCACAATTAGAAAAAATTTCTGAAATGTATTAATAATGAATTACACAACTTTACTGGGTAAAGTAATATAACTACAGTACATTACTAGTAATGAGTTACTGCCCAACATTGACAATTACAGATTAAATTGAATTCAAGGTGCTGCAAAAAAAAAATATCTACAAATAAAGCCCTCATACACGTAAATCCATCGGTGCCAAAACTATCTGTAGAGTTAGCCTCTGAAATATCTGTGAGTGAGTTTGCTGCTATTTAAAATTAAAAGCCTGCTGATGACAAGAACCATAAATCCACAGCTGCTTTGTATTTGAATGTGTGGTATTATTTGTAATACAAAATCATAAGACAATTTGTAATCACAGTGAAGCTATAGTGAGTACCAGTTTCTTTCAATGGTAATCTTTGACAGATTTTCTATATGCTGCAGATATGAGAAAATATGATGATCACTGGTTTACCCTAACGATCAGATAATGTCAAAAGTGCCTGCTACGGTACACGCTGACGTTACCCAAATTCCATAAAAGACTCTTTTTTTTAATGTCCCTGTTGTGACCGGGTCTTTGAATCTCACTTCTATCTATGATCTTGGGGAACAAAAAGTACTTTGAGGATCTGATGAGATGAGCTGTCAATATTTGACCTTCCCGTTTAAAAATAGAATTTCTAATAGCTACAATTTGAATCACAGACCTATTGTAGTTGCAGGTATGGTCTTTTCAGTAGTTGTGCCAAGTGCATCTATAACAACAGAAATTAAGAGGTTATCGCAACAGTTATTCATTTGATTTCAGAAAACAGTAGTAGGACTGTTTTGCTTTTTAAAAAAATACACAAATAATCTCACCATTTAGGAGGAGGTTTTCTCTTTGAGCTAGAAAAGAAAGAAAGCATTTTACTATCCTATATAATTAATCTAAAGTGTTTAAGTACAATCCAAACAACATTAGTTTATTTTTTCTCCCTTCAGATTGGTTTACCTCTGATTGGGGCCGTTACCACCACAGCAAATGGAAGAAGTAGACAACATGTGAAGCTAAAACAAATAAAACTAAAATTAGAAATGGTTAAAAAAAAAGGTTGAAATGCACAACTGTTTTGAATTTTATGCCATGGTCATTTGCAGCTGGCAAATAAAATACGTTTCAAGGACAGATGTTTGAAAAGACAAATATCTATTAGACAAAATGTAAAAAACTTACAGCTTCATTGTTGAGTTTGGTCCCCGGCTGTCTCCACTGTTTGTCAGCAAGAGTGCAGCTAGTATGCAGTTTATGTACTGCTGCTTTATCCTGATTGTTCCACCTTAAATAGCTCTTGCCCAACTTAATTACAGATTTTGACCAGATTGAGTTGCAGTCAAAGACTATTTCTCTGTGTTTAATACACTGTGCAGGCAGAGGAGCAACAATGGAGCTACAGGATAGGTTTACAAGGGCCTATTCATTATATCAATTCAAGATGAAAGCAGATGTTCTCAACATCCAAACGCAGATAAAGGATCAGTCTTTCTCTCTATTAGGTATTGATAACAGGTGGTTGGTTACTTCAGGAAAATGCCCCAGGCTTTTTTCTATCCTTTTAAATGATGCCACAGAACATGTATTGTTTTCTGTCACTATTTCACCCATTGTCCATTGTACCGGTGAGCCCTATATTTTGCCCTAACAAAGACCTTTTTAAAACCAGGCCATAGTGAACATTAGTGTATAGAAATGTCTCTCGGTAGAAATATCCTGAATGGACGTATGTGTAGTAACCAGGTGAGTATTTGAATTGCAAACTCACATGTGTGCCTGCTGTACTCCTCCTGTTATATAAAATGTGAAATGATGTTGGCCAACATCTGCCCTCAACGAGCTGAAGACATGTGGTGGTAAAACGTGCATGTTGCTTGTGGAAAAGAAGTTAAATAACTAACGAAACAGGCCAGTTGTGACTGAAAACACATACAGACTCAGGCAGACAAAAGTTTCAGACCTGTTGGTGGCAGAGGGAGTTACAATCTCCCCCATGAAAAAGAAAAAGGAGAGCGCCCTCTGCAGGAAAGGCTATTCGCACTAAGCTCTTGATCCCAAGCATCGCCATATTGACGTCCCAACAACGCTGAGAGGTAATCGTGTTATTTAACCACAAATCGTCGTAGGTTTGGAACTACCGCTGAGTGTTTTATATGTGGGGAAGAGCTGGGAACAAGTAACACAACCGCGGTGCCATCCTACTGCTCTATCACAGTGTTTGTAGGAGGTTTTTTCAAGGCGTTGTCAGTCAGTTGCCTCGCCAGCCAGCAGGCTATTCACTCCCTTAGCCTGCTAGCCTAGCACTTTCTAGCTTTAGGAAATATCTTTTTCGAAGCTTGTTATTCAGCTATACCTTAATAATAACCACTAGAATTGTTTTTGGCTATTTACACGCGGACTGTTTGTTTCCTCCCGTTACAGTAGCATAATGTGGCCGAGAGCTAGTTGTGACTTTCCAACCGGCATTTCCCTCTGCTGTTGACGAGCTAATGCTAACTAGCTAGCAGCCCAGCCAGCTGCCCGGTTTTGCCTGATAGCTAACGCTAGCTGTTAGCACCACTGCACTTGTGCAGGCCTTGGGCCACAGAGGGTTTGTGCGTACACTCACCTTTTTATTAAAGTACTAAGCGGGCAAACTAGCGATAACTGAAGGGGAGGTTTTCCCCAGAGAGACCATTCGTCGGTTGGATGCGTCTCATAAGCCCATTTATTTAATGCAGCCATGTAGCTGAATGCGTTAGCTCACATAGTTTGTTCATGTTTGCTTAATTGACAGCATTGATTTTAATCAACCTACTTTCTGCCTTTTTTTTTTTCCAACAGGAGATACTGCCTTGGTGTAGCCCCCAGTGATGACTGTATTGAACCCTGTACCTCCTGATTAGACTGGTTGGATGCCCCCATTTAACATTCAGGTCTCTATATTTCACATGCCACCATATTTAGACACACTAGACAACAATAATTTAGTTTGTTGATTTTTGTTTTTTTTAGTCTGTATTATAAGAAACACATGCTGCTATTTTAGTTTGTGAGTTACTATTTTTGCTGCCTTCCTGTAGCACGTTAGGAGCATCTGTATTTTCATATGAAATTGTTTTATTCAGATCAACATCCTATGAAACAGTGTGGTGCAAAACATTTCAAATTTAAATGTTTTGTAATCTTTAATTAACATTTCTCAGTTCTACATATGGTTTTGAACGATTGGATCGGAGTATGCTGACTGTTTAATATCTGTATGCCCGTGTAGCTTTCTTACCATAAAGGCAACTCAACTGCTCCTGTTCCGATTCATCAATCACCATCATCCTGGAGGGAACCTCCCAGGTATTATGTTATCTTATACAAGAAATGTCCCTAATATCTCCTATTTTTTGTTTTATGATATCCTCAAACGCACACTATTGTACATTAGTACACAAAATGTTTTTGAGTTGACAAAAAAATGCTGTGAGTTAAAAGACTTTTTCTTAAATTTACGTTGTTTGTTTTATTTTAGGAGATTTAGAGAAGATCCTGTGTAGAATATGTCTGGCCCTGTTCCAAGCCGTTCTCGAGTTTACCCTGATGTAAACACACAGAGACCTCGGGAATATTGGGACTATGAGTCCCATGTTGTTGAATGGGGGTAAGTTGGTGCATTCGATGTGCTTGTCTTCTTCAGCTTTGTTGGGTAAGCAGTTTCAGCATTGTTCACTGTGGCTTTTTGTTTTGTTTTATAGGAACCAAGATGACTATCAGCTAGTCAGAAAACTAGGGAGAGGCAAATATAGTGAAGTGTTTGAAGCCATAAACATCACAAACAATGAAAAAGTGGTCGTCAAAATACTGAAGGTATGGAGATAATCTATTGAATATCCTGACGTTTGATACATTTTGAAAATGTTTTTTCCCAGTAAAACATGGTTGTGATTTTGTCTCTTCCGGTTGAAATTTCATTTACTTCACAAGACTCTCTCTGTTCACAGCCGGTCAAGAAAAAGAAAATCAAGAGGGAAATAAAGATCCTGGAAAATCTGAGGGGTGGCCCAAATATCATCTCACTGTTAGATATCGTCAAGGATCCTGTGGTAATTTTGATTCCCTTTTTCTTTTTTACAAATTAGGAATAAATGTATGTACAAGTTTTCATTCTTAAACACACATGTACATTCTTTTCTCCTTTTCTTTTTAGTCCCGAACCCCTGCTCTTGTCTTTGAACATGTGAACAACACAGACTTCAAGGTAAAGATTGGTGCTTTTTTGACTTGTAATGTGGAAATACGTTCATACTAAGTCATTTTTGGCTCATACATTTTTATATTTTTACAGCAATTGTATCAAACCCTATCTGACTTTGACATACGGTTCTACATGTACGAAATCTTAAAGGTAAGAACCTGCTTTTGGTGCACTCGATTTGTTACACTCTACTTTATGGTCTGCGTTGGTTGTTTATTATTTGCCAGAAACGTAACAAGCTCTATACCTATTCTTAACATCAACATTTTTTTTTGTTTCCTTTTTTACCGGTTAGGCTCTGGATTATTGCCACAGTATGGGGATTATGCACAGAGATGTCAAGCCACACAACGTAATGATTGATCATGAACACAGAAAGGTATTTTTTCACATGCTGATAATTTTCCTGATTTCTTGTCTTCTCCGCTGTGACAGCAGCTAATCACATTTTTTAAAAAGCCATTCAACTAAATTTGTTACATTTCCAGCTACGCCTAATCGATTGGGGTTTGGCAGAATTCTACCACCCCAACCAGGAATACAACGTGAGAGTGGCATCCAGGTACTTCAAAGGACCTGAACTGCTGGTAGACTACCAGGTAGGGGCCCTATACTCTTCCTTATTTCTACTCATACCAGTTTTACACAAGTTGGTCAAAAATGGCACTTACGATTCATATTATTAAAGAAGAGAGGACTGATTTTTGTTGTTTAAAATTGAAGCCAATCTGAGCCTTTTTCATGTCTCTATATCCTTTTGTAGATGTATGACTACAGCTTGGACATGTGGAGTTTGGGTTGCATGCTCGCCAGCATGATCTTCAGAAAGGAACCTTTCTTTCACGGTCATGACAACTATGATCAGGTATGAAGAATCAAGTCTTTTTAACTTCATCTTAATAAAGTCTTCTGTGTATGTGTTCACAAACCGGTGGCCTAAATAGAGCAGTGTCTGGGGTTGCGTTTTTGCCCAACATTGCATAATGCATAGCATTGTTAGTTTTACAGTCAACCCTCATTCTTCTTACACTGAATAGTTGGCCACATTGCAGCTCTGCTGGAGCACCTGGGATTTTTCTTTGTCTTTTTCAGAGTTATCTCAGCAGGTATTAAGCAGGGGTGGACATTTATTATTAACTTTTTAACATTTGGTGTACTGATTGCAAACAAAGGGGGTGGGAGACAAATTTAGGACTGTACCAGTGGACGTGGCTCAAAACACATTTTACCCCTATGGATGGCGTCATCTGTGTTGTGTGCTTTGCCTGCCTACACTGTAACACTGAACACAGCATTTCCAGTTTATTCTATGACTCATTTGGGCTTGTGTTTCTTTGAGCCTAGTTGACACTACGGTTGAAATGGTCCTTCAGTTCTATTGGCAGACAATAGCAAGTGTTGATTAACATTTTTATTTAAGTAACCATCTCGTACAGTTAATCTGCTCAGAGATTGAACTCTAATTATTTCTCAAGTAATCAGGCAAACAGCGTTTAAATGTTTTTGTTTAATAATGAGAATGTTGCAGACGAGTGTAAAGAATGAAACCTACCCGTTACCGAGGGGATGTCCACTGGCTCAGTTAGGTTTGATAATATTAAAAAATTTTCTCAAATTGTACGTATATTTAATGGGACATGCTCATTGTTAAGATGTTTTTACCTAGATACCACAATTACCTCTTAATTGACGTAATTAATACACTCCGTGTATCCTATACCTAATTGACTATAACACTGTAAACTGCAATGGAATGTATTGCCCTCAATACATGTGATGTATAAACTCTCTACCTGAACTCGTTTAATTACTGAATTATGTTTCTTGTACCTTGCAGCTTGTGCGAATCGCAAAAGTACTCGGCACCGAGGACCTGTACGACTACATTGACAAGTACAACATTGAATTGGATCCCCGATTCAATGACATTCTCGGAAGGTAAAACATTGTAGCCGTTTGAATATTACGACCGAGATTGTTGGATAACGAAAACCTCACAGTAACACTTGTTCCCTGGTTTGTTCTCTAGACACTCCCGCAAAAGGTGGGAGAGGTTTGTGCACAGTGAGAACCAGCACCTGGTCAGCACAGAGGCTCTAGACTTCCTGGACAAACTGCTGCGCTATGACCATCAAGCCCGCCTCACGGCCAGAGAGGCCATGGATCATCCCTACTTCTGTGAGTCTGTTATAGTTTACTAGCCTGTCTGCGTCTCTTACTTATTCCTTGAGTCAACAGTCTCAAAGCAGAATTTGAGCACACTGTTTGAAGTGGCTTGATTGTGTCAACACAAGTGTTAGGTTTATGAGGCGCTCATATGCACTTTTGTTTTCAGATCCCATCGTTAAAGATCAGGGAAGGGGGGCCACTCCTGGAGGGATGGCTGCCAGCTCCACACCAGTCAGCTCCTCAAGTATGATGGCCGGTAAGTAATCCAGCCTCAAAAATAATCTGCGGTTTTAAATGTTTCCCTCATAATCTGACTAATTAAGAAAGTTAATCTTTAATTTGAAGCTAAAACGAAAATCAGATTGTGAAAGGCTGCTTAGAAAGTTATATCGATAGTGTGACTATTTTTTTTTGGGGGGGGGGTGAGGTTCAAATTCAAGATTACACTTTATTTGCAGCCAAACAAATGGTCAGATAGCAAAAAAAAGTTATATCACAAGCTTTTCTTTGGCCGGAATCAAGGTTATAACTCTATTTTGAGATTGTGATGACGTGTAAATATGATTAATGAGCCCCCCTGTCTCTCCTAGGCATCACCTCAATGTCCTCCTCGCAGCCACTGGCTAACATTGCTGGATCACCCGTCATCTCTGCTCCCAACACTCTGGCCACACAAGTCCCTGCAGCCACTGGGGCTCAACCCTGAAGCCACTTCCTCACCTGTGTTTATGTGTGCTCATGGCCATGTCCTGCCTAGCTCTCACTGCGGCCCAGGGCCATGGCTCCCCTTTTTATGTTGAAAATAACAAAGAAGAAGATTTAAAATTGCTTTTCACATTCAGTTATATTTTGACACCTGGACTTGACAGAAATGTATTGTTGCACCTGTCAGGATTATTAGAATTAATTTGGGTGTGTTATTTGACAATGCCATTGTCTAGAAATTCTAATAAGATGTAGACATGAAGAGAATGGATAATAAAATTTATTTTGTATGTTCCAAATATACAGTCTTGCTTGAAACTGTTTGATGGGGATCCTGCTGTATTACACTGTGAACCTTTACACAACGTCACAAAACAGAGTCAGGAATCTGGTGTGCCCCACCTAACAGTGCTCGCTGGTTGCACACGATATGTAATGTGCAGGAGTTGTTGGTGTTTTGAAGTTGTTAGATGCTATAATTCTTTAATTGGACTTTTGTAGATATTCTACAGTTACTGTCAGGTTGCATGCACCCAATGCTGAGTATCACAGGGTCAATAGTTTGCCAATCTTATGTTACTTTTCACTTCTATATGTGTATGTATGTGTTCATGTTTGTTTTTTATGAAGTCTCTTACACATGATTTTGATTACATAGACAATTTTGTAACTTTTTGTTTTATGTTGGGAGGAGTCATCACCTACAAAAACAACTTCAAAAATAAACAATTTAAACAGGGTTTTGCAGGCGCTACATGTTATTGAGTATACCGTCTGTTGACTGGTTGCTTTGGCAATATATGAGTGACTTAAAGCGCAGCAGTGTAGTCAATATTCCCATGATTTTGAATTAATTTTGGCACCGAATTATTTTTGTAACGGTGCATTCCCCAGCTTTTTTTTTTCATCTGTTTATACTTTCACATGTATTTATTTTAGTTAGCTTGAACAAAGTGAGTGCAACACATACATCCTTAATAACTCTATATAGAGTCTTAAGTCTTCTGAGTTATGTAGGTATCAAATGTGCATGTGTGTAATTTATAAAGAGCCTGGACATGATAAAAGCTCAATGTGTGAATAAGAGCAGTGAATCACACTCAGATCTCACCTGTCAGTGCTGGCCAAAATGGGGAGGCAGGGAGGGAGGGGTGGACTAAATGTACACCCCCAGACCATATCAGATGAAGTTGCACTCCACAGGACTCATATGCATGTTCTCTGTTGCTAAACAAAAACGGCTGCTACAAACCAGGTATAACTAAACTGGCTGCTCAGGGAGGTTTAACAAAGACACACATAGATGACTCCTTCCGTTACATATGCAAACGGGCCTCATTCATTCCACAGTACTCATGGTGCTGCTACTATCCCACAAGGACTGAACACAGCATATCATCAAAAAAAAAAAAAAAAAACTGATCTAACACTTTCATCTCACTGTCCAGAGCAGACTGAATCCACAACCTTCATGCAGAGAATTAAAACTGTAGCATAGGAGCTGTTTTTAGACACAATTTAGCTCCAACCATTCGGAATCATGCAGCATTCACGTGCTTCTCATATGTGGGAAATCACCAACGTCTCGTGTTCAATTGCCTCTGATTAATGGCAACAATGGCACAAATGTTCTGCATTTTATCTCACGAATCAAGACATGCCTATGCGGGGCTACACCGCCAGCTGCAAGATCAAAAATGAATTCTTAGGTACGGATTTGTTTACATATTTCCGATAGCTTTGAACGCAGCATTAGTCGCGCCTGCTGTGGCACGCCTCGGCTGCAGTGCTCGAGCACTTTAAAGCTGTTTGTAACTTTTTTTTTGCTTATCGTGATTCCGAAATGGGAAAGGTGGTGTTTATTTCGATTATAGTGGCTGCCTTATCTGCGCTGCTCGGAGAGAGGGTCGTCAACTTCAGGTAAGTCACAAAGCAACTCTGTTCATGTTGAAAGGAAAGGGGTATTTCGGTGTTTGTAGTTTTTCTGCAGGAGAAAGGGGAAAAAAAGTTGTGTTGTGACCACCTGCGATAATATAAAATCTGTCCAAACATTGCAGGAAAAGGACCCTCGCTTCGAATGAGCTGGTCCAGAATCACCTCCCCAACTGTGTCGCACTCAAAAATTTGGGTAAGTAACGTAAACACCGTAAAACAGTGCAGCAGAAAACACGAACATTAAAACTAACTGTTGTCGTACTTTCAGATTATGGCTCAGAGGATATAACGATTCTTCGAAACGGGCTCGCCTTTATCAGCACTGTAAGTATTTGTGTTGAAGAACAGCCAAAAGCTGCCAAAGTTCAATAAACTTATACTAGAAAACAACTCATAAAGGCAAGTGTTCACACCCACACACTCTTCTAACTTGTAAATTTCAATATTTCAGTCAGGACCGTTAATCTGTGTGACATTGTAGAAGTAAAAGGGGAAAACGTCAATTGTGGCTGCACCAAATGATTATTTTCATAGTTTTTAAAAAAATGATTAATCATTTAGACTATAAAATGTAAATGAAGAAGAAGAAGAAGAAGAAGGGGAAAAAAAAGATGATGAATAATATCACTTCCAGATAGGAATGCATGATAATTATCGGGACAGATAAATTATGAGCTGATAATGGGAAATATATATTTTTCAGATTAATTAATAATAATTTATTTTTAATTCTAATGCAACACTTTTGATGGGCTTTATGTTCTATGAAAGCCACAGTATGGTTGAAGTTTTTTGTTCACTTAACTAAAAAAATAAAAAGATCCTTTTGTGTTTTTGTCCTGTAAACAAGATGTCAATTACAATTGGTTGTCCATCTTTGCTCACTAGACCTTGCCATCAAGTGTGCATAAACTGCAAGTTATTTTATTTTTTAAATACAAAAAGTCAGAGATCACATCTTAAATAGTCCTGTTTTGACTGGCCAACTGTACAAAAAGAAACCATATTCAATTTACAATCACTTATTGGTCCAGTGTGTAGGATTTAGTGGTACCTAGCATTGTAATTGCAGATCACAACTTCCCTCGCTTTAGCCTCCCCTTCCAAGCACAAAGGAGGAACTACGGTGGAAATGGAAATTTTATTTCTGCCAATAGATCTTACTAAATGTTACACATTGGACCAATCAATTCATTGTCAAAATAGTTTTTTTTTTTCTGTCAGTCAATTAATCATTGCAACACTATCGTTGATGTGCTCAACATAGCCTCAAATTAATGTTTGTTTAACCCCACTGAGGATCTCCAAAGATCAAAAATCCTTCCTGATCCCACTTTACAGATCACATGTATTTGGCCAGCATCTCTTCAACTGCACAAACAACTCTTATAACTCCTGCCACTAAATATGGGCTGATGCCTGTTCTTTTCCTATCCACCGCCCCTGATCAAAGGTTGTTTTAAAAAAATAAAAATTAGAGTATGGTGTCATAATTGGTTGGGCATTGTGTTTTATAGTCTGTATAATTTAATATATGTTTAATATGTCAAGGGTCTGAAGTATCCTGGAATGCCTGTCTCAGATGTGGCTGCAAAGATCTTCACCCTCGATATGCAAAATCCTCGGATGAAACCAGTGGAGCTTCGAATGCCAAGAAACTTTGATCTGGAATCATTCAACCCTCATGGCATCAGTGTATACACCGATCCAAGTGGTAAAAGCACTTATCACCTACCTGTGGTTGCACACAGGTCTCTACAAGAGATCACTTGAAAGGCAAAAACCCTTTCTACTGTTTATTTTTTTCAGTTTAATCCACATTTAACAACATTTATATTTACAGATATACATTAATAGCACATATTTAAATACATTTAGCGTTAGAAAACTTAAAATACATTTATTTTCAGCTCACCTGACTGTCACCACTGAAGACTATGCCTGTGTGTGCACGTAGAGTATGTGGACAAACCTGTTGTGATAATCACAGTGGGTACCCTTTGGGAGCAATGGGAGGTGTGTTAGTATATTTGAACACAGTGTAGATCAAATAATGTCTGCAGCCAGTGCCTTTCCTTTTTTATTATGTCCGTGCTAAAAACAGTAAGTTATTTGGGTTTTTTGAGGGAAATCATCAACAACAGATTCTGATGCATCCTTAACCAGTTCAGGGTAACAATCTTAAATGTGTGTAACTACTGCAGAATGTAGCAGCTCAGTAGCACAAGTACCGAGCTGTAAATTCTCATTTTAGCTTTGATAATTCTCTTTTTTACATATGTAGTCATTCATGCCTTCACACATACATACACACACACACACACACACACACACACACACACACACACACACACACACACACACACACACTTTCAGCTTGGTTGTCAGTATTCATTTTACAATGCTTACCTTGTTTCTTCTCAGATGACACAATATACCTGTTTGTTGTCAATCATCCTGACCAAAAAAGCCAAGTAGAGCTGTTTAAATTTGACGAGGACAACCTCTCCCTGGCGTATCTGAAAACCATCAAACATGAACTTCTCCACAGGTACAGTGTGGTGATCCATTTAAACTGTACCTTCAATGAACTGCGCTTGAGATTTACTGAGTAGGGAGATGTAGTCAACCTGCAAACATTTTTTTCAATTCTGATCTATTTTCCAGTGTGAATGATATTGTTGCAGTGGGAGTTGAAAGCTTCTATGCAACCAACGATCACTACTTCACTCATGAAATCCTTAAATGGTTTGTGGAAGCTCTGCTGGCTCAGCCTTGGACTAATGTTGTTTACTACAGTCCTGAGGAAGTCAAAGTGGTCTCTGAGGGATATTACTCTGCAAATGGCATCAACATCTCACCAGACAAAAGGTAAGAATGATGTGCAGGGCTATGTATATGGTCATCCATGCTTCAAATGTCTGAGTTTCATCATTTTGATATTCTTTCTCATTTGTAGGCATATATATGTGGTAGATTTGTTTGATCACAACGTGCATGTGCTGGAGCGGAAAGAAGACAATACATTAGTCTCTGTGAAGGTAAATAATAAATATTAAATATTTGTTAAACAATAACTCAATATGATCATATCATCTTTGTATAATTCCCCTAAAAGTCAACAAATACTAATGCGGAATTACTACCTAGTTCTGGTTGACATTGATTTCAGAATAAATGCAGAATTTGAATACAAAAAGTGTCCTTTGAAGGAAACGTAATGTTAATTGTCACAGTTTGATGCAGGACATTAAGTCAAATGCAGTTGTTACAGGCTATTGCTGTAAACCACAGTTACTCATTTGCTGGAAGTAACTTAAAGTTGAGTTACATGGATTTAGATAAGAGTAGCTGCAAATAGCAAATCATTTTCATGTAATGTGATTTAAAGCGCTACAAAACCAATGTACGCTTATGCTAAACATTAAGTGGAAACCAGTACAAAATCAGATGACACTAGAATTGTCCTTTTAAGATAATAAAGACGCCATGATGAATGTATGAGTTTAACCTTGTGTATGACACCTCACCAGTCTGTGGCTGTGGGTTCACTCTGTGACAACGTCGAAGTTGAGCCTGAAACCGGTGACCTGTGGCTAGGCTGTCACCCTAATGGCTGGAAATTGTTCATGTTTGACCTCAAGGACCCACCTGGATCGGAGGTTTGTCTATTCACTTTTAACCAGATAGTAAATTGTGAGAGACCTGACAACATTACAACAGACTAAATATATAACTATATATGTTGCTGTATCTGCTATGTTCTGCTTATCTAAACAGCTGATCTGAAAACTTATACTTTTATTTATATCCTTATAATTTCTTCCTTTTCATGATTTATGTTTTCTTCAGGTCATCCACATCCAGAACATTCACTCTGATCAGCCAGTGGTGACTCAGGTGTACGCTGACAACGGCGATGTGATCATGGGCTCCTCGGTAGCGGCTACCTATGGGGGGAAGTTGCTCATTGGTACTGTGTTCCATAAAGCCGTGTGCTGTGATTTGAAGTAGGCAATGAGTCTTGGACTGCTGCACCCGACGCCAACTCCAGTAGAGCTACAAAACGAAGGAGACATGACATTTAAGTAGAAGAGTTTAAACGAAAAGAATCAAAATTTCAGTTAAAGTAAAGGAAATTGACCTCTTTGCAAGGCTCTCAATCCGATCGCTGTCTGATTGAGAGCCTTGCAAAGAGGTAAAGTGATATTTTAACCTGTTGTACTAGGGAGGATCTGGTAACAGACCAAGAAAAACCTCTCAGCTGGTGTAAAAGTGCCTGAAGGTCTCCCAGGAGGAGCTGGAGAAAGATCGGTGGATGACGTTCACCTGATTTTGTAGCAATGAGCCAACAGCGTATTTCAAAATGGTGTCCGACACAGAAACGACTGAAGTAGTTGTAAAACAGTATTTTCAATCAAATGTGAACAGTTCATATAATTGCTTTGCTGTGTATCGTGAAAAGAATATATTTTGACTGGTCCCCAAAAATGCTAAATCTATGCATATGCAATGTGTGTGAATTGATGTTTTTACATGTGGTAATTGCTATTGTTAATCACATTTGTTTCATGTTTTTGAATGTAAATAAAATAATAAAGAGTCATGTTTCAACTTTGTCTAGTGGTTCAACAAATATGCACAAAAAAGTGGCATGTCTGCGGACAGATGAACGCACACAAAATAATGTAACTTTCATTTGCAGTCATTTAAATTTATAACACAGTCCGTTTGTTTGGTTTAGAATATATTTGTATAAATATATAACATGTTTTCTAGATGAAGAATTTAGTTTGACCTTGAAACTAGTGATTGGATAGATCTTCTATGCTGGCCCCGGCTGAAGATGTGTGTGAAGCCTCCACGTTTTATAAGTTAACAGAATTAGTTAACATCCATATTTGAGGCATTCTAGTTCACCACAAGCTCATTGGTTGTGCTGTTATTGAGCTTCTGCTGATTGTTGTTGCACTGTGTCATGAATCTATCGTTCCTCTGTACTTCTAGGTAAAAATAGAAAGTGAGGCAGTAATTCTAGTTTTATATCTGTATGTGTTGCTTGTTATGTTTTGTTTGTTTTGTTCTTTCTTCTTTAGGCCTGAATATCTTATTTTAAGGTGTGCTAACACACATTGAGTGTGATTAAGATCATTAAATAAATACTAACTTTACTTGTTAAATCTAAAAAAAGAAAAAGGAAGATGGTCCATATGTGGATGACAATTATTTCATTGGAAAAAGTCATGCTTCTTCCACACAAAGACACTTTAGTGCCATCTCTGGTGCAGCTATGTAAATTCTCTCTGAATGTGTTCCTGTGTAACCTTAGACCTAAAAACATGGCAGCCACGAATAAAGTCCTTGTTGCTGCTGCTGTTGTTGCTGCCTTTGCAGCTTTAATTGGATACAGATTTCTTCAACTAAAGTAAGTATTTCTATTTCTATTCTTTTATAGTAGAGGTTTGGTGTAGTAGAGGTTTAGTTGACAGCTTATTACAGTAAGTAAAAGATCAAGTATGAGTATGCAGGAAGAAGGGAACAGTTCACAAGTTTATTATTATCCAAGCCCTGCTAATGACACAATTATAAAATATGACACAGTAGACTTGCAGGTTCCAGTTTTGTTTTGTTCCCTATGAAATGCTTTGTCATATTTGATTTTCTCTGCAGGGAAATCAGCCTTTCTACCAGAGAAGTGACAGTGAAACACCTCAACTGTCACTATTTAAACAATATTGGTAGGCATTCTTGGCTTTATGTTAATGTCAGTGTCTTAACTTTGGGATTTACATTGTCACCAATGTTCTGTAATCTAAACATGTTTCTGGACAATCTATATGTAAAATGTGATCATGCACCAAGGGTCTAAAGTCCAGTTTACTGGCAGTATAGGTCAAGGGTGTGGAATGTGGTAATGCTGGGGTCAATGGGTGGTGCACTTAAAGAACTTAAGTGTTGATTTTGTTTTGTACAGAATATGGGGCAGAGGACATCACAATACTTAAAGATGGACTGGCCTTTCTGAGCACAGTATGTTATTAAAATCTTTGCATAGTTGCATGAATGTTCATCAAATATTCCTCTACATTATGCTAAATTATGGATCAACATTTTTGTCATAGTTAGTTGACATAACTTCAGGAAGAAGTGCATTGTCCCTGCTCAAGTAAAATCACAGAACATCTTAGTGTTTTCCACTCAGGGCTTGAAGTTTCCTGGACTGCCTTCATTCTCAGATGAACCAGGGAAAATGTACATTTTGGATCTGCTGCACCCAAAGCCAACTCCAGTAGAGCTACAAATCAAAGGAGACCTGGACCTCAGCTCTTTCAACCCTCATGGCATTAGTGTATACATTGATGAAGCAGGTGAAGTACAAGTCAGGTGCAACATCACAACTATAGAACAAAGATATGAAAGTCTGTGCATCACGCATAATTTGTTAAATGAAGAGGAATCTGATATTGTAGAAATCTTGAATCAAGAGGATATTGCCTTGTATTGCAACAACTACATTATGAAAAAAAGTCAAAAGCCTTACACAAAATGCAAATTCATTAAAATATTTTGTTTTTTAATTCAGCTTTTACGCAAGTCATGTGACAAGCAAGATGTTGTATGAAGAGTCTGAAACTAAAATATATATTATACTGGTCTAAATCCCAAAGGATATTTTTTAAATGATAGATTAACTGCTGTTGTTGGCCATCAACATTTTTTTAACCAGTAACATTTAAACAACTTAATTACGAAATCAGATTGTGAGAGGCAGCCATGTTTAAACTACATTTTAATAGCCTACATGTTCACAAACATTAATTCTTAAAGGCCAAAGTAAGAACTGTGGATATTACTTTAAATTAATCAATATAGAGACATTAAATAATATACTTTAATACTGCAAAGTCTTGAAAAAAGGCAAAATGGCAAAAAAGTACAAAAAATGAATTAAGTTCCAATTTCGTGTTGTGTTCTGCTGAAGAAAAGACATGACTTTCCTTGAAAGCACCTGGCAAAAAATTGTTTTGACTCATGTCTAAATTCTTGGTGATGAGCAAGCCAACATAGTTTCATTAAATAGAAAAAATTAATATAAAGAGGAGACCTGTAATCATCGGTATATGCAAGCAAGAATTTGGGTTTTATTTCTATTACTTACCAGACTTTGGAGGACCCTTAAATTTATATTTATATATTTTCAGATAGCAATTTTATTTTGCCAAGACAAAACGTAAAGTGGTTTTGAATGGATGTTTATCTGCTGCCCCAGAGATGTTATTTTCAGGGAGTGGATCACTGGAAAAACTATTTTATTCATGGTGGATTAGCTCTTCTTGATTTATTTATTTTAACAATAAAAATAAGAGAGAAATATTTTAAAGTTAGAATCCTTCACAGTTAAATCAAACCAGATTTTTGTATTATTTATGGTCTGCATTTTTTCATATGTATTTACATTCAGCCATTTAGTAGTTTGTATTGGTACTGGCACAATCCCACAAGGGGTTAAAATTCTTCACAAGTACAACAAGGGATTCAAAGGTATGCAGTATGTAATCCAGTGTTACTGTTTGGTGTCATTGATATCAGACCCACTGTTTACTGTTCACTCTCCTACAGCCGTATCAGAGCTGTCTTAATTTCCTATTAAAGCTAACTCAGCATTTCCTACTGCTGTTGCGTCACATTAAAATCCCATTTTATGGGACCTGTAGTGGTAACCGCAGTAACCATGAGTGTTGCCCAATCCGCCATGACTGAAATTTTAAGGATTACAACTCTCAGTAAAACATAAAATTGCCATGGTGTGACAGTAATACCAGAGCACAGGTCAAACTCTGTCAGAAAATGTGTATATTATAAAGAAAAGAGGAGAATAATGACCACACACTGCTATTTGTTTGCAGAGGACTCTGTGTACCTGTTTGTTGTCAATCACCCTGAGGATAAAAGCCAAGTAGAGATCTTTCATTTTGTTCAGGAGAACACACTTGTGCACCTAAAAACTATCACCCACCCCCTACTCCACAGGTACATACTGTATAATAAACCATACACACTATCACACATTTGACCATCTCTGTATGCCTTTAATCTTATTCCTCATGTCTTTCAGTGTAAATGACATTGTTGCAGTCGGAGAAGAAAACTTCTACGCCACAAATTATCGCTCCTCCTCCATTGATGCACTTCACTTACTGACTGTTTTGTTGGGTCTCCCGCGGTGTGACGTGGTATACTACAGTCCAAAGGAAGTGCGGGTGGCAGCTGATAGCATCATGTCTGCAAATGGAATCAACATATCGCCTTGCAAACGGTTATTCCAAATTAATTTTGCTGCATGTGCATGTTTTTTTATTTATTTTCCAAATGGATATTTCATTTGTAATGCTAAAATAATAACTCAGGAATAGTCTTTTTTTACAGGTATATCTATGTCTCAGATATCATCGACCACGAGGTAGACGTTTTTGAAAGACAAGAAGGGGAACAATTAGTGTATCTTAAGGTAATGCATTGTTGTCTTCTTTCTACCTTCAGCAAAAAAAAATATAGAAGGACTAGTTTGACATTTTGTGAAATATTATATATATAAAGCTTATTATTTGCTTATTAAAGCATATTAAGTTTTTGTACTGTTTAAACAAACAAGATATTATGTGTTGAAGGTCCAGTGTGTAACATTTAGGAGGATCTATAGCAGAAATGAAATATAGCCAAACATACCTTTGAATATATTCAAAGCTATGTTTCATTAGTGTACAATTGCCTGAAATGTAGAATCATATCTACAGAGGGAGCGGGTCCTCTTCTATTGAGTCCGCCATGGACAAACCAAACGCTGGCTGTAGATAGGGCCTTTTGCTACTTCGTGCTACGTTGAGTTGAGGGGTTTTCAGTAGGCTGCATTCTGCAATCTCAGCGCTAGATGCCACTAAATCCTACACACTGGTCCTATAATTACTGACCTTTAGAGGTGTTGGTAGGTGGATTCTGTTACATTTGGACAGAGCCAAGCTAGCTGTTTCTCTCTGGCAAGAAGGCAAATAATCTAATTTCCTGTAATGAACAATTTTTTTAAACATCACTATTGCTGTGATCTTTTGCAACTTAAGCCAAAAAACAACATTTATACATGTTTTAATCTCTACTCACTATATGTAATGTTTCCAACCAGTCTGTAGCTGTTGGGTCACTCTGTGATAACGTTGACGTGGACCACAAGACCGGTGACGTTTGGCTGGGTTGTCACCCAAATGGCATCAAGTTGTCACAGTATGACCCTGAAGATCCACCTGGCTCTGAGGTTAGTGTTTATAATGAAATAATATATCAACACAGTTATTTGAATTTGCCTGATACATTTATTTATGTTTCTTCCAGATCATCAAGATCAAGAACATTCACTCAGAGCAGCCTTTGGTGACCCAGGAGTATGTTGATAATGGCCGTGTGATCATGGGCTCCACTGTAGCAGCTCCCTATGAGGGAAAGTTGCTCATTGGCACCGTTTTCCACAAAGCCCTGTACTGTGATTTGAAATAATCTGTGTATTCTGTGTCTTTGATCACTACTGTGTAAGAAAACTGTGTAACAGAAAATTTTGTAAAAAAAGATTTGGATGACTATGGGATGAAAAAAATTAAATCTTGCTAGATACCTGACACATACACTGGCTCATTGTGCATGGTTAATAATTGAATAGTTGATTCAAATAATGGCACTGTAAAGTAAGAAACCGTCTAACAGGGCAGCTTAAGTTTGTATCGATTTATTTAGTATCATTTTCACAAAATGAATTCTTGATACATACAGTATTTACATTACTTAAAACTCCTACCCACAACAGAGCCTGACTGATTCCATAATTTTTGGCAAAGGTAAAGGTAGTTTTAGAAACGATCTTTACCCTTTTTCATCTTTATCCAAATCTTCTTCATCTACTACCTTGGAAATTGTAAACCTTGTCCCTCCACCATCCGGGTGCTGTACACTTTCCTCTTCTGCAGCCTCTTTGGTAGGCACAGTGAAGACAATACCGTTAGTTTCTGAATCAAATGCACAACTGTCCTTGTCCTCATTATCAGTCCTCACAAATTCTGCAGGTTCAGAGCTTCGGTTGCTTTCTTGTATTAGAGAACACTCTCCTTTTTGTTCATCTTTGTCCGCGACGGCCTTTGCATTCATGAACACGTCACTGATACTGATCATGCGTCTGTGCCGGGGCGAGTGTTCCAGGGTCTGGATGTTGGTGGCCAAGATGTCGCTGCAGCTTTTTGAGCGATTTATGTTGTCTGAAGGCTTTTTTAGGTTGACTGTGGCTCCAATCATCTTGATGACAGTGCTGTAGTCTTCGTCCTTCGGGAAGTCGAAAATGTCAATAACGGTCGGCTTTACATCTGGGCTGTCCTCTACAGGCTGGGGTTCTTCATCATAGAAGCGTCTGTGCCTGTGTCTTCTTTTCTTTAGCACCTTGTGAGCTTCCACCACCATGTGGACGTTCCAGCTGAAGAACAGAGACAGCCAGGCCAGGCCCATGTAGATCCATATCTCTGCAAACACTCTGTACAGTCTGGGGTATTCAATGTTTGGATTTACACCTGAAATGAGAGTCAATTAACCGGTATGAGTTTTATATCACAGGACTTAAAAAAAGGAAAAGTTCAGACCCACAAATGACTTCATGGACACATTAACCTTAGATAAAATGAGTGACATTATGCTAAAAATCAAACCTACCTGCCACATAATCTCCAAAACCAACCGTTGTGAGTGTGATGAAAGAGTAATAGAGGCCTTCCAGGTAGGTCCATCCTTCCACAGACATGAAAACAACTGGAGGGATCACCAGATGCACCAACAGCCCCCATAACAGGAATATGGCTGTACAGGTCAACTGGACCTTTTTCTGACAGAAGGCAGCAAAGAATCATATTATATTACAATAACTTGATGGAATTGCCTTTTATTACATTATTCACACTAACACCTGCTTCCAATCAGACCATCTTACCACTGATATGCCTTTACGGATCAGAACCTGGGACAGACGTTTGGCCCGGTCTCCAAAGAATGAACCCAGCTCACTTAGCCACACCAGACATAGGGGGATCCCACACAGACCGTACAGGATGCAGAACACACGACCACCTTTAGTCTTGGGAGCGACATTACCAAAACCTGTAGTTAAAAAAAAAGAAGAAATATTATTGCACAACACTGAGAGATATAAGGAATGTTTTATAAAGGTTAATACACTGTAAATATTGGCTAATCATTGGTTAATAAGTCATGTATGAATCATTAAGCAGTAAGAATAAAACTTGGGAAACAGTTGGTTACAGTGTAACTTCCTCTATTACGTGCTTTGTCTTTTTAAGATTATTATTTATTATCTTTTATTATTGAAGGCCATCAAATGTGCACTAAGTTATTCATTAATCAGGTTTGAGGTTTTTTTTTGTTCTTAATGACTAATGCAATGTATTAATAAATTATTTTTCTTATCACAAAGTACTACTACTACTACCAATACTACTACTACTACTACTACTAATAATAATAATAATAATAACAACACATTTTATCTGTATAGCACATTTCAGTAACAAAGAGCTTTACAACAGCAAAATTAAATTCAATGACATTAAAACAACAGCATTAAAATAACAAAGGTAAAAATCACAAGATGAGATTTAAGATAAAACAGTAGAATAGATTATTAGACAAACACATCAAGGAATTAAGTAAACACACATTTGAAAAGGCATGTTTTTAGATGTGCTTTAGAGAACTGATAGCAAAAGCCCAGTCGCCCGTGCTTTTCAATCTAGGAATCTCTAAAAGGAGCCATTGGAGGATCTCAGGCTACACTTACACTCATATGGAATTAGACAGGCATTGATATAATCAGTGGCCAGTCCCATCCAGACCTTAAAAAGTGATAATTAAAATCATAAAATTGATTCTAAAAAGCACAGGCCAGCCAGTGTAATGAAGTTAAAGTTTTGTTAGAAATGGTGAGGAGTCTAGCAGCTGCATTATGAATTAACTGAAATCTGGAGAGGTTGTGTTTGCTTCAGCACAAGTAGAGTGAATTAGAGTAGTTTAAATGGGATGTAATAAATGCATGAATGACAATTTTCAGATTCTTGTAAATTGAAAAATCTGCCAGAACCAGAATATGGTCAAATTTATTTGAGTTTTGAGAATTCTGTGATGAAACCAGTTGTGGATTTGGCTTGTCTGTAAATCAGAATGCAGAAGGTCTGTGGGTCGCCTGAGATAATAAAATAGAGGGCTATAGATACAGAAAAAGACAGTTCATTTGGGCTTATTCAACTAGGGGAAATATATTATCCTGGGTCAGCCAGGGTTTGGTGATCAGGAAAAAAAAAACTCAAGATCATTCCCGACAATAAAATCGGCAGGCTACATAAAAATTATTTGTCGGTGCGGGTTGCCTTCTGCGGGTGCCGCCATGTTTCTGGCTGAAGCTTAAGCATTTTTCACAAGTTCTGCGGCCGCCGTAGTTTCTCCAACACACATCACAGCCTGTCCTCATTCTGACAAATACAGACGAATTTGTAAAACTGAACAGCGGTGTTCAGTAAATTGCAATCTGAAACTTCTTCACTAGATGCTACTAAATCCTACACACTGGTCCTTTAAGAAGAACAAACTTAGATAGGGTTGAACAGCATCCAGTATGAGTTTACACTGAATTGAAATAGGTTACAATTGAGATTTAATTGAATTTTATTCCTAAAATGTAACGTGTAATGTAATATAACTTAGCCCTGGACAGTCTGGATTGGTTGTTGATGAGCATATGAACAGCTGAGGGACTGACTGGTATAGGGGCCTGCAGAAAAAGTCAGATAAAATAGGCGGAGATTTCCTCACACTGGACACAAACTGCTTCATCCCATGTCTGTTTAGGTGAATGCCATCCTAAGTAATGCTCTCTCCAGAATGAATCAAAATGGTCAATAAACTCATAACCAGCAGCAGTACAACATTTCTGAAGCCAGAGCTCTTCCTCAAAGAAGTGGACCAGACAGAATAATATCATTATGGAGGATTATAGGTGCCTGATACTGTAGATCTAATACAAACCTATAGTGGTGACAATGGTGGAAGCAAAGATGACAGAGTTGGTCCAGTCCCACGTGTTGCGATGAATCTCTCCGGTGATGGACACACCTTGGCCCGCGGCCTCTGACACTATCTGGGTGAAAAACAGTAAATAAATCTCAACACAACCCATTCACACACTGCTGTAACTTCTAGCTACTGCTTCCCCTTAATGACACCGACAGCAAACAGCATTTAAACTGCGTATCACGACTTGAAATGTATATCAAAGTCACAACGGAGGCAGCCATTACAGCAGCAGACACACCTTGGGCAAACATTCAAATAGTTGCGGCTTCAGCAGACATGCACCTTCACGCTCAGCACACGTTGTTTGGATCGTGAATGCGTACAGCTTTCATGTGCTGTAATAAATAAGACTGTGAACCAGTGAATGAAATGGGCCAGTGCTACTTCTGATTTTTGTCCACAAGTACACTTACTTATTATTATTACTGAGTACCGCCACCTCTGTTGTGCATATAGCTACCACCACTGAGGAGTGGAGTTTAGTATTTTTTTCCCGAGGTTTAAACGAGAGAAGTGGTGAAGAAATAACGGCCTAAACATAACTACTTTGATGCTTTAATGCAAGTTCAGTTTTTGGACCTCGGTATTTCTGCCTACAACAATGCTGGGGAGGTCCTAACGCCATAGTAAGTGTGTAAACACAGATAGATTAACACTAAAACAACAGCACTGAATATGTCCTTTGTTCGTTAAAAAGGATAAGAAACGGCAAAACCAATTAGCGTTCGGTTTTCGGTGTGTTTAGGGTTAGGGTTGTGCTGAACTAGGGTACTGGAACCTTTTTTGGTCTCATTAAGACACTGTGAACATCGTTATTTAACCAAAGAATAACTTTAAAAAAAGAAAAGTATTTTTATTGACATAATCCACTTCAGGTTGGTGTTTGTTGTCTGTTCGTAAAAGCAGGAAAAACGGGTTCTGAGTCGCCACATATAAATGTAACGAACTTCTCTTTTACTCTTCCAGTGTTTGTTAGATAAGCTCGAATCCACTGTGGTTAGAGAAATACTGTCTAATACAGCTTTCATTCATTTTGATATAAAAGCTTTATGAGGATTGACGGGCAGCATATCAGCCGTCAATCTCCGCAAAGTTACAGTAACAACAGGCAGCAGTAAGAGATACATGGACAACCTATCACTCACCAGCCACAGGTTTCCTGCCACACATTTAAAAACAAATGGATTCATACCTCCAAAATCTCATCCAGACCTTCTTTAGTCAAACAGGGATAATTCTTCACAATGTTCTCCTTCTGTAGCTTATATTTGTCTCTGGCTGATTTCCAGTTTGGCTCTTCCAGGATCTGGAATATCGCGGCCCCGATCGACAGGTAGAAAATAATACATGATGTTAGAAACGGGCCCTTATCATCAGCCATATTAAAGTCATAACTTCTACTCTTTCGGCACCGAGTAAGATCTTATTCCCTACAAAGGGCTGTCTGTCGTCATCCCCAGCCGCTCTGCTGTCTTCCTGGTCACTGTGTTGTATTACACTGGGTGTTGATTGATTCAAACTCAGCTGCATTGTTCAGGGTTTTTTTTTTTTCTTTTTTTTTTTTGTTATCTTTTTCCGTCAGAAGCTGAAAAACTTATTTTTAACCATACATTGAAATGACCCTATTATTATTATTATTGTTATTATCCTGTTCACAATAACCAGTGGAAAAGTACAAACAAGCCCCAGTTTCACAAAACTATAAAAATAGCTTATATGGATTCCAATTTTTTTTCATGCATATATGGTATCTATCAATCAATCAATCAATCTATCTATCTATCTATCTATCTATCTATCTATCTATCTATCTATCTATCTGTCTATCTGTCTATCTATCTATCTATCTATCTATCTATCTGAATACCTGCATGAAGCAGTTGTGGAAACGTTCAACAGGGGGCAACATGCCCTCAGTAGGCTGAACAGGGTTTCACACTTTTTGTGAAGAATCATGAAGCATGTGTTTGAACTGGTGCGTGTTGGTGGTGGCGGTTGCGCTTATCTTCATGTACGACCATCCAGAAGGCTGTAGCGTCAGTGTGTCAAGTTAATCACACTGGGTGGACCCTGGCTGCTCCGCATGATAATGGATGAGAGGTGTTGTCCTCCGTGTGAGAATATACTGCATGTGAAAGTTGAATGGAAGTATATTTAAGTTTCTTTTTTTGTCAATGAGAACTGAAAAAATAAAAAATAAATAAGCACTGTGGGGTAAAGGGACACTCCACACTAATTTTACCCATGATGTCCAGTTTATAGGCATGAACAGTGCGATATATTGTTTTTTGGAGCTTCAACAACTTCTGCTGCTTTAAGTTTGACCATCCTCTTTTTTTTTAAATCTGTCTATTTTTTGTGGGGTTTTTTGTCCGTCTCAGCTTTATGGAAGAGTACACCTTTAAGGCCAGATATATTTGACTAACCAACTGGGACTGAGCCAACACTGGCCGCTGGGTTTTAGGTAATACTGAGGCAGATGTTCCATCTGTAGCAGCTGCTAGACTGTACTGTACCTTATGGGGATTCGCGCTGCTATTTAAGGAGACATACAAGGTCATTAAATGGAGCCAGATTTGTGTGTCAGTCTTGTACACATGATAGCAACCAAATAATAATAATATAATATAATATAATATATATAATAATTTATAATAACACCTCTACACAATTATTTAAGTTACTCTTCTAATTTCCTCTGTCTCCTACAATGAAAAAAAAAACAAAAAAAAAAAACAGTTCTCTGTATATGCTCAGAGGCTTCCAGTTTTTACATGAGGCGTGTGGGAGTTGAATATTGGACCATGATTGTCTTGCATACTAGTTGTGACACAAAACCATGCTTGTATGTGCACGTCTTAAACTGAAGTTTAATGTGAGCACAGAGAAACTTCTCCCTCCAACAGATCAATGTGAAAATCCTGCAAATGAAGACCAAACATTCAACTAACAAAAAGCTAAAACACAATTTGGAGAGGGGAGGAAGACTTTAAGGATGCACCACTTTATCTGAGGGGGACAGATATTAAACACTTATACATCTATTAAAATCCATGCTTCATATTTATTTAGGAACGACTTGTTACAGGCACTATCATTACTAATAAGCCCAAGTTTTGTTTTCTTGGTGTCTGTAACGTGTACTTTGTTGTTAAGTGTTTCCTACCTTCTCTCTCTCTCTCTCTCTCTCTCTCTCTCACACACACACACACACACACACACACACATAACAGCGCCCCTGTGTGGAGCCACCAGTAAAGTCTGCATGCAGAAATGGCTCCACATACAGAGGTATGGTGGTTGTGACTTTGCTGATATGAGACCAGTCTCTGTACAACTGGCACAAAAGTTGGCAGTAGCTGAACAAAAGGCTTAATCTTTGACCACACATTCCTCTCTGATATCTGGGCCCTCATACCGAAACTACTGAAGTAAACACACCACCACACAGCAGGAGAGCTGCACCTGCTTTTGCGCTTAGCTGTCATTTTGATTTAAGAATCCTTGGTGCCAACACGAACACTATTTCCTTGACGCCTCCTTAAGTGCTTCCCCCATCTCTCTCTCTCTCTCTCTCTCTCTCTGTGTGTGTGTGTGTGTGTGTGTGTGTGTCTTGTAGGCAGTTTGCATTACTTCACCCGCAGTCAGGAACTACACTGCACCTGACTCACCTGCAAACAGAACTGCCTGGACATTTTAAGTAAGGACATGTAACGCTGTATCCCTCAGAGCCTCCCAGCATGTCATTACCTTTAGTAACAACACGTAACGACTCATCAGGGTTTTTTTCCCCTTCCACGCTCCCACCTCGCATCTCCACCCATCACTACTTAGTGCTTCGTCATTGCTGCGACGCCGCCTCTCAGTGGAAACCCTGATCGATAGTCTCCCAACTTGCTCTGGAGGGAAACGCCGGAATTATGACACCAAAATAAAGGTGGAGGAAAACGCGCGGAGGATTCATCCGTCTGCTCAGGTATGAGGCTATTATTGTTGTTGTTGTTGTTGTTGTTTATATCGCACACCTTCCCCGGCGAGGTTGTTCATTTCCCCGTGTGCTGGCGGCGGCGGTTCGCTCAGAGTTCAGCGCGCCGTATTTAGAGGGATTATGTCAAATGCGACGAGCTCACTGATGTTTGTGCTGTTAGGCTGCATAGGAAATAATAAAAAAAACAGTGCTCACAGTTTAGTGTAGTGCTTCGAGTAGCTACGCTATAAAAAATGATAAGAAATGTCTGTGAAGGGTTTGTTCTGAGGTTGCTGTCACCAACTTACAGACTCATGCTTTGGAAAGCAAACAGCTGATTTCATTATCAGAAAGAAGAGAACAAGGTCAAAGCTAATCCTGTAGGAGTTATGTAAATGATGTAGGTCTGTTTTTGTGCTGATAACAAGGAGAAATCTAGAGGAAAACCTGTAAATTTCACTTATTTATAAGCATGTTTTTCTGTTCTCCAAGGATACTAGCACTGTATGTTATGTGCTATGTCCTGATTCAGGCTCATAGTTTATGTGATGAATTAGTAGCTTATGTGCTCAGGCTACCTCTTTAAGTGATGTATTATGCAAAATGCCTTCACCTGAGTACTGTACATCTGCTTGACTTTGTGTGCCATCACCTTTAATTATGTAAACTCTCTGTCATGTGTCCTGTCACATAGATAAAATATGTATTTTACTGACCTGACACACTGTTTTCCCTCTCTCTGTCTCTCTGACCTGGCCACACTGTCTGGGATTGCCCATGTCATCTACAATGACCTTCTACATGGATTTAATGTGAGTATCAATATTGTTTAAGTTGTATGAACAATATGAATAACTAAGGCATTGTTGTAGTAACGATCGGATTGAACCACTGGATGTAAGGCTGATTTGGGGGGTATTGTGCTGCTGTTTTGCATACATAATGACAATGAATTGACCTTATGAAGTAGATAAATGTCCCCTTAATATACCACAATATGATTTAAAGGTAATGTAGAGTTTAATTATAATAAAACAAACCCTACTCTCCGCTGCAGTGAAGCATTTCCTTTATTTGTTTATGATATTTATGCAATGGTTCTTTTAAGTAATAGCTCATCAGTCTTTATAGAGACTATTAAATATTAATTCTTCATTACTTCTATTTGACTTTGCCATCCACACTGGGATTTGAGGGAAGACTTTGTAGACTCCTTCTGTATCTTTTGATTGTGTCTGGTTTGAATGCTTTTCTACCATGATTGTTTCTTTATTGGTGTGACAAAGTGACTGCGATTTCTCAACCTTGAGTATTTCTACATATACCAGGAGAAAAAGGTTGTTGTAGTTTATGATTAGGTTATTTTAAGAGTGAGTAACAAAAAAAATTATGTGACATCCTTTTGATCAGATTTAAAAAAACAAAAAACAGCATTGTGATAGAATCCCAATGAGAGCCTTTGTAGATGAAATTATGGCTTTATGTTGACCTGCTGGTGTCCACATCATGCTAGTTTTGGGAGGGGTGTCACCCTGAGGCATCTGGACGCAAACACATCTTTATCTCTCATGAACACATGCTCCCAGCATGCCTAAAGCTCTATGTTAAAGTAGATTAGTGTTGGTGGGGATTCCCTCTCTCTAACAAATAATTCATGTTAAACTAGTGATTTGATCTTTTACCATGGATTGTGTTTGTTATAAGACTCTCATATGTGTGCACATATTTAGATCCAGCTTGCACTGTGTATTGGGGAAATGTCAACATAAGGAAATGGAAGAATTGAAATTACAGTGCGAGGTTTAATATGTGTAGAGAAGTTTAGGGAAATTATGTTTGTTTGCATACTTCTCACACTCACTGTTACATATCAGCATAGTGCATGTGAAAATTTGATTCATTCACTATCTCTCCACCAGGTGGCAGTGTAAACTAAGAAAACACAGCCACTTACAGTAGCATCAGATAATCAAACACAATGTGGCATGTACTTAGGGGGGGGTAGAATGTCCTCCACAATCTGTTCAGAGTAGTGTGAGCTCCAGGGCTTGGTACAATGTCTTTTAAGAGATCTCAGATGACATCCAAGTGCATGCATATTAATGTGAGCGTTTCATTTCCAATCTGGCTCATCGCTTTGCATATTGTCTCTTGATGCAAAATATTAATGGGAGTTTTACTAGCTGCAAAAATCCATGACAGTTCTTTTTGTAAAGTTGCCCCATCCTATTCTCTGTATTAGGTTACAGCACAGGATGCACTCAATATACACCCTGACTCATTTCTTCTTGTCTTTAATCTGAATTCTCTAAGTAGTGTATGAAGGTGAGAATTTTAAACTTGCCCCAAAACAAGAAGGATGGACAACATGTCTGCTGGAAGAAAGGGGCAGAAACACAGAACACTCCTGGTTCATAAATTCTTCATAACTTAATGGTGTGCTATGAATATTGATGCGCTGTTACCATCTATCCCGTTAGTGCTCTTGAGAGCTCGGCTCCTGAGCACAAATAAAACCCCTGCAAACCATGCCCCCATCACATGCACTCAAAATTCACATTTAAGGCATTTTCAAAGTTGTTTTACATAAGATCCAGGAGGGAAGGCGGCACGGTGTGTGATGTGTACCCAGATGCGGTATTGAAAGTCAAAGAGAGATGAATTGGGTGGAAGTGGTATGGGACATTATGTAACCACTGGGTGATGGAGCCAGAGAGGGATAAAGATGTTCCAAACAAACATAACCCCCACGCACTCAGTCGGAGTAATGCACTGCGCCATCGTATGTGCGTGTTTGCCCGTGCTTTTGAGCAAATGAGGAAGAGTGACTGGGGGGGGAGTGTACGTCAGTGTTTTGGGTGTGTCTACTGTGCTCATCTCAGAGTCTGTGGTTCCAGTCTGTCATGGTCTCAAGGGACTGTGGGTCTGTGAGTGCTGCTCCTTTTCTCCTCCCTTCTCTGCTCTGTCTCTCCTCCCTCTCCTGGGTCCAGCTCAACACCTGCTCCTTGCAGTAGGCACAGGGCAGGGCAGGGGTTCCTAAGCAACTGAAGGCAACGCGAGTAGTTCGGTAGTCTTTGTGTCTCTCCCTCGCTCTTCCTCTTATTATCTCCCTGACTTGTTCATTCCATCCCAAACTGAAGCAGAGGAAGCAAATTAACTATATCGAGATATCTGTTTGTACTCGGTTGGAATGCACCAGAGTCTTCCTGTTAACGCATTAGGTCACAGTAAATGTTTAACACCACTACTTTGTGTGCTTGTGCTCAGTGATCAAAGTCTAAAGAAGAAAACACGATTATCGACTGTTACTGCGTTAGAGAGACATTTTATGTTTCTCTTATTTGGTGTTGCTTCTTGATTCCTCCTTTTGGACTTTATGATAACATTCACGGACTCACCTTTCTTTGTACTGGTAAGACATTTTTCTTCAGTGCATAGCAAATTAATTGCCCAGAAATGACATGTGGCGCTGCTGTGCATGCCACATGAACTTGCCTCTTTGAGACAAAAGTGATGGTTCCTATTCCCCGATGTGGCTGTGAGAATAATGAACCCCTATACCCACCCCCTTCTTCTGCCTATGAGCCGTATGGCCCTAATGGGGTCAGGCAGATGGGTGGGGACCATGCCGGGGTCCATTAAGACAGCTTGATCGGACGCACATGTGTGTGCTGGTTTGTTTTTGAATTTTTTTAGATAAGGTGTTTGAGGGCGGGTCTGGTGTTAGTTACGTTCTCCGGTTTGATTTTTTTTTAATGAATCTGAAACTGTGCCACTTTTAAATCTCACCACTTGGATCAAGGTTGTGGTCCCTCACACTATGCAGATGAAAGCACCACGTTGGTGCCTGAAAAGACTGGTGAAGACTCTGAGGAGTATTGCTGTGTGCCTCTGTGCCTCCCTCCTGTTTCTGGACATTGTACTGTGTTAATGATTGCACTCTTTAGTCCGCCTTACTCCACGTCTGTTGGGGATTGTTGTAAGGAGGCTTAATGTATCGCACCAACATAGTGATGAGTTGTGAATTAAAACTTGACAATGTGAATGTCCTCTTTCATAAGCATGAGACTGACACTAGTAGAAATCTGAGGTTCCTCATCAGATTTGAACACTTATGGATTGCTGTTAGACACTGGATCAGTGGTTTTTAGAGTTAGATTGCTCCAGAATTGTTTTATATTTCTATTCCGATATCTTAACATAACCTTTCATTTAGTGGCATGGAGCAGCTCTAATCAGCATTATATGAAAACTGTGTCCATCTCCTCCACCTTGCATGCGGTTGTGAGGCGTGCTGATCGCTGCTCAGTTGGCCAACTCAAGTCCAAGCCTCAGTGTGAGACTCCACCCCTTTACGAGCATCGGACACCTTCAGCACAACAAAGCATGTGTCGCTCCGCAACATTGTTTCTCCTCTGAACGTGCGGAATATAGGATTTTTGTCGGATTTTGTTGCTCTTTGCTTTCCGATTGATGCTAATCCTAGAGTAGGTAAGCCAAATTTTAGATGTGTGTTCCTCGGGCGGTGGGGATGAGTTGGTGTTTATTTGTTTTGTTGTACATTCGGCGCCATTTTCATACACAGATTTGTTTAAATACCCTGGCACGCTGGCCCGATGCTGCCTCTTAACTGTTTCTGCGGTTTGATTGAGGGGGGGAAAAGTTGGAAATTTGAGTCGTTTGAGGCTTTGTTACCATGCCACATTGCAACGACGATTTCAGGCAAATTAAAGTCATATAGGCTATATGTTGCCCAATTAAAACAGCCCTCTTGCAGTCTTAGAAGAGCCCCATACATGAAAAGCGCTCCGTATCGGCGGAGGCAGCGATGCGTTTTCTACATGTGTTGAGTTGTTTTTGTAAAAATGAATGGGCATGCAAGTGATCACTCTGCTTTAAGAGTGTAAGATTTTAAGAAACTTACTCTATTTCTACTACTACTACAATTTCTGTTTGTTTCTGTATTAAAACCACGCATTCGGCTGTACTATGAGGTAATGTGAAGGTTAATAAAATTAGGTAAATGATGATCAATGGAAGAAAAAACTGAGTATATTTTATATTAAACCTTATTTTATTCTACTAATGGCTCATCTTCACATAAGAGTACAGTATAGAGAGGTCTGATCACATTCAGTGTGATGTATAAGAGACATTAACATGATGAACTGAAGGTGATGTGATTGTCATGTTTTGTCCCCCTAAATCATTCATATGTTAAGTAGTTATTGTTCCGGGTGATGCACTTTTGTCTCTCCGTGTCGGGATGTTCTTACTCTCGAATGCTTCTCTTTGAGGTGTGTATCCTAAAATGTGTCCGCTCTGATGTGCAGATGTTGGTTTTTCATGCTGTTTTCAGAGAGATGGCATCGCTTTTGGTTTTCATTTTCTGCTTGAGATGACTTGCTTTTACCCCCAGTAGGAGTGTAGGCTATAGGTTAAAAATATCCATCCCCGCTGGAGGGGGCGGCATATGTGAATGTGTGTCTGTCCCTGTGTGTGCACTTAAAGAGAAACTCATCCAATAAGCCTCATCTCCATTGATGATACCACTGGATATATATAGTGAGATAATCTTTTATGAAGCACTGCAGATATGACGTGGGGAGGACGAGGGGAAAGACAGAGGCAGCATTAATGCAGTAGGACTGCAACAGAAGTAAACACAGAGGTTAAAAAATGACACGAGATAAGACCCGGGTGCTCGGGGTCTCCTGTACTGCTGAATCAGCGGCGTTGTAAAACACAGAGCTGCTGAAGTGATGGCTGAAGGATGTTTTTGGCTCTGCTGTGTGAGAGTGAGGTCACCGAGGTCCCAGAAGAGCTTGCTGGTGTTAATCCTCTTTTGGGAGTTATGATGCATTCGTGCAGTTAGACTACTACTCTGTTGTCTGAGCATTACTAAATAGAGAACAGACTCTGCATACTGTACAGCGTCATTTGCGCTTTTCGTCATGAATGAGGGAACCAGGGTTGGATGAGCGTAGAAAACTATGTAAAACAATCAATCTTTACTTAATCGTCACACAAGTAATCACAAAACAAAAATTATTTTTATTTAAATATAGTAAATTTAATTCACAGGTTCTCCTTTTTAAATCATTTAACGAAGTATTGGATTTTGTGCCCAACATAAAAAAAAAGAACCCTTCTTTCATAATGTGCACTAATGTCCAGATATACTACTCTGCCAGTGGGATTTTGGCTGAGGTGATGTTGGAAAATGGATTCAGAATTGCTTTCAGGGCAACCACAGTAAATCAATCCAGCTACTTCATTCTTTTCCCATGTCGGTTCATGTTACAGCATCAGGCGCACTGACCATCTGTGTGTATTGATCAGTTTAGAACTGGGTTCAGGATAGGGTTACACAGAGGACTAGACTAAAATAACCCTTTGTTGCCCAATTAGTATCACCCAGTACACACATAATCCACGATTCCAGTGCTTCATTTAAAGTTTGATCACAATTAACATTTGTTGCAAGAATTGCTCTACATGTCGCGCCATAATCTTGAAAGCATGCAGTGTTATTTTACACCATAGGATTATTTAAGAAGTAGTAGACATTCACACATATCATAAGATATTTAGCCCCCCACCCATATTATGTGTATTCATGATGTTGCTGGGCATGCTTGTGTGTTTTTAACTGAACATACTAACAGTTTAGCCGGGCACATGTTAGCGTGTATGTTGGCATGTGTGTCTGTGTTTACTTAAGAGAGGTTAATAGGAGCCACCATGTGGTCTGAGGACTGATATCTTGGCTTTCAGTTAATTTCTGTTGATTTTCAGCCAGGTAGGCGGGGCTCTGCATAAAGCCATGAATCAGCACAGCTGATCGCAACTGTGCTTCTGGCAGCTTTTCTCTCTCCACCACACACACACAAAGACACACACAGATGCCCACACTCACCCAGAGAGGCAGAATGAGAGAGAGAGAATCAGAGTGGAGGGAGACAGTGAGATAGATACTGTAGGCAGGTAGATAGAGATAATCTCGCTTGGTCACTTGGGGGCTGATTAACTCTAAACTCCTTCTAATTCCTTAAGCCTACTCTCAGTACCCAGGAAACATGCTTTCTTTTTGTCCTAGTATTCCTACGTGGTAACATTATGGTGGAACTCATGTTACTTGTCAGTCAGTGACCATTGTTAGAAAGGAAAGGGCAGGGAAGTCACTCAAAACTAATGCAATCTCTCTGCTGTCTTAAAAATGATGCTATACGTAGTAGCGTCTGCATTTGTGGCCGTGCACACATGTATGCACATGTGCGTATGCGTGTTGTGTGCAGCACGCCGTGGACCGAAATAGATATGAGCTTGTCTGTAAAGGCTAACTAATGAGTCCCTGCATCCTGAGCACATGTAGCTATTTATATACTATACCTCATCCTCCTCCTCTGCAAGCTCTGCCCCATTCTGCTCTCTTGTCTCATTTCATCACACATATATATGCACACTACCACACGCACAGCAGCATCACTGCAGCATCACTGGCAGATAATATAAAGGCTTTGGTATCTAGATAAATTCCTGAAAATCTATCTTTTTTTAAACTGGAGTCTTGGATTAATGGGGAAGTCATGGGGTTAGCATCAATTTAAACTTTGATGAGAACAATTAATGATTTGGAGCTCAATTAGTCATGATCTGTTAGTGTTACTTCGATTTAAGCCTGTAAAATAATGCCAATTTCTATAAAATGCAAATCATTTGAAGTAAAATGTGACATTGCCTTTAAGTAAAATCCACTGGGTCAAATCAAATTTCCAATTATCTTCCTGTGGGAACATTAGATTCAATTAAAAGTAACGGAACAGAAACTCTAAATCAAAATCCTGATTCAACCCCAGCCCTGGCATTTGCACCTGATCCAGCAGCTCTTTGCGAGCTCAGTCTTGCTAGAGGGTAGCCTACTTCATCTATAATTTAGCTCATTAGAGACACTAATTATGTAGGATTGAGGGCAGGTTTTTTTTAACAGCACAGCAATATTTCATCCAATTACTTCCACACCAAAAAAAAGAAATATGCCTCATATTATCAGAGATTGATGCCGTATTGAGACATCTGTGGTGTGGCTGCTGCTATCTCAATCAGTCATGATGCAGGTTTGCCCTGCTCAGCTGGCTGATAGCAGAGATGTTAGATAGGCAACACAAAATGGAGGAGGCAGCAGACACAAGCTCAGCTGGTCCATTAAGAGCATGCCTGTTTCCTGACAATCACAATTGAGATGACGGAGCATTAAAAGACCCAAAGGAGCCCGTGAGCACTGATGCATACCAGTGTGTGTGTGTGTGTGTGTGTGTGTGTGTGGTGACCTAGGGAATACGCCTATGGGGGGTCCTGTGGGGGGAAGGGTAGGTAGGATTAGTTATAATTTGCAGCACAGTTATTGGTCACTGGACACAAACAATGGGAGGGCTAAAGAGGATTTGGTCTCTCTGTGTGTGTACCCCCTCCTCCTCTCCTGCTGTCCTGTAGTGCCAGTAGGAAGTGTATGGTATAGAGGGCCAGGCTGCACCCTTTGGGGCGGCCCTGTACATCTGGAAGATTGGCCAGCCCGCCTGTCTGCCTGTCTAGCATTCCCCCTCCCCCCACTCCATACAAGGCAGGGTGGGACTTGAACTACATATGGAAGAGACAAACACAGCCACATTAGTCACCAATTAGACAGGGCCTACTCCAGACAGGATGCAAATCAGTCTCATGGAATACAAAAAGTTATTGTGACGCGAACCCCTGTAACTGATGAATCTCACCTAGGAGAGGTGTTGCGGGATTGCATAATACCTGCTGTGTATTTCAGTTCAGTTGTGTGATTCAATCAGCTGGTTAGAAGTTTCTAAATATACCAGATCTGTCCTCTCGCTGCCACACCAGGGAATCAGACTCGTGTGCATTAAACTCTGAGACCCTTGTACTGTGACTGTGGTATGTTCTATAACTACTGTACAGTCTAGTTGAAAAGGACAGGTACCATATTTACTGCTACGCACAGTAAATGTTCTGTGTAGAAGTAGAGCATATGGATACAATCTGATCAGAGTATAAGTAATATAGTTACTGGAGGCTTTGAGGCAGATACTAATATTGTAATGTGAAAGTTTAAAAAATACATTTACAGTATATTTGCTGATATGGATTTTTCAATTAGAATCCCTTAAATTTGTTAAATCAGTGTGATCAACATGGAAATAAAAAGCAACATTTCTTCTATCTATCTACGTTAAGCTAATGTCAGCTGATGCTAAATCGAATTAACTGTCCATGCTCTAATATGTAATTTTAGATGTTTTAAATTTTAAATATGAAAATCAATTTAGAGACAGTTAATGCATCAAATAAACAGATAGAAATGTCTGTTTTTGGCAAATTTAAATAGATGAAAAGTTAACATTCTTAATCATCGAAAAATGTTGCTCTAAAGCAGTCTTGCTCATTGGTTTGTAGCACTGCCCAAAGCAGCCTAATTCACCAAAAATATTAACAATTGATTGACTGTACTATATCATCTCATGGTATATACCATCATATCGCCTAGTCCTGCTGCCTCAGATGACCTGTGCAGGATGGGCCTGTGTGAGATGAAGAGCCAGGCATGTTTGGCGAGGATGATCCAGGCGGTGCTAATATGCAGCTCTGGAGCAGAATGCCTCCTTTGTGTCAGTGAGATTTAATGAGTCTGTGATAGGCCATGTTGTGAGCTTGCCCTCAGAACTCCATGTAGACACAGACACAATCTTCAACAAGGAAGGCTATTGTGTGATGCAGTGATGTTTGTGTATGTGTGTGCAAGTATGTGTGTTTTGAGTCAGAATATAATCTGTGGGTGGCAGTTGGCTTCATGTTTTATGGAATAAGTCTCATGCCACTCAGAGTAGGCAACTAATGAAAACTTAAAGCAGCAATGTAAATGACATATAATAATATGGTAAATTGCTCTTGATTAGATCCTCATCTTAAATGAGACAGTATTGTATAAATAAATAAAATTTGGATAAGTGAGAATAATGAAGCACGCATACAGATGACCCTATTTGCATGATAAAAGATAACATTAGATCATTCTGTATTGAGAAGAATGAGCAAAAAACATTTTGGCTTGTCCTGTTCATGTCATTTTTTTATTCCAAAACTTTTTTTTGTTGTTTGTAAAGCTACAGCTAATATATTTTCAATATTGATGAATCTGCCACTTATTTTGATGATGAAGCTATCATTTTTTTAACTTGTAGAATCTCACAAAATAGTAAAATAAAATTGGCCATCACAACAATTCCTCGTTTTCGCTACAGTCAAAAACTAAAAGACATTCCCTGACACAAAGATATAAAACAGAAAAAACAAAAAGTAACTGTATCTGTGTTTCTGTATGTGTAATCTAGAATCAGCAAATGTTTGCTTCAAAATAAGTTGTTTATCATAATCCTTGAACATGATCATCAGTACACATTACTTATTGTATCAGTATCCAACAATCCATGTATTACATTTGCTTACCATTGTTTCCTACACACAGGCTAATAGTCCATTGCTCCTAATCTTGTTTGTTGTGTTCCAAGTATAGCCGTGCTGTGCACTGTTACACTCTGTACAGCACTGTGACCTTTCTCCATCTCTGACTCCCCTCTGTTCTCCTTCCCAGTGGCTACCATGACAACAGAGGCAAGTGCAGTGAGTGAGGCGGACACTGGGGGCAAGCAGAAGGCCAGTGGCGCTGAGCCCGAAACCGAACCAGCGAACAAGCCGAAACCGGAGGCACCCGCGTCCCAGTCGGAGGGGGAGCCGTCGGGCAAGAAAGCCCAGGAGCAGGCCTCTGAGCCTGGGCCTGCTGACGTAGCCACCTCCCCTGAGGAGGAGCAGCTGAAGCCGCGCACCCGGACCTCCGCTGGCAAAGGCCTGTCTCGCCTTTTCTCCTCTTTCCTCAAACGCCGCTCGCAGTGTTCTGAGGGAGAGGGGTTTGAAGCAGAGAAAGCCAGGGAGGAAAAAGCAGACAAAGAGGAAAAAGCTGACAAGGCAGAAGAGGAGAAGAAGGAAAAGAAGGAAGAAGTGAAAAGTGAAACCAAGGAGGCTAAAGTAGTAGTGGAGGAAACACCTGAAGTAAAAGAAGTGAAAAAGAAGGAAGAAAAAGTAGAAGAAAAAGAGGAGAAAAAGAAAGAGGAAGAAAAAGTTGAGAAGAAAGGCAGTAAAAAGAAAAAGAAAGAAGCGAAGAAGAAAGAAGAGAAAAAGGATGAGGAGAAGGTGAAGCAGGAGGAGGAGAAAAAGGAAGAGGAAAACTTGAAAAAGAAAGAGGAGCAAAAGGAGGAAGAGAAAGCACAGCCGGCTGTAGAAAAGGCGGAGGAAAAATTGGAGGCAAAAGAAGAAGAAAAGAAGGAGACTGCCGAAGTTAAAGACAAGGGGGCAGACGCTGGAAAGAAAGAGACTAAAGAAGAGGAAAACGTTGACAAGAGAGTTGCAAAGAAAAAAGAAAAGGAGGAAAAGGTAAAGAAGAAGGAAGAGGAAAAAGCAAAGAGGAAAGCAGAGGAAGAAGAAAGGGCGAAGAAGAGAGAAGAAGAGAAATTGAAGAAGAAAGAGGAAGAAAAGGCAAGAGAGGCCGAAAAAACAAAGAAGAAAGAAGAGGAAAAGGTCAAAAAGAAGGAGGAGGAGAAATCAAAAGAGGAGAAGACAAAAAAGAAAGAGGAGAAACCGAAAGAGGAGTCAAAAAAGAAAGAAGAGGAGAAACTGAAAGAGGAGTCAAAAAAGAAAGAAGAGGGAAAGGAGGAGGAAAAGGCAGAAGAAAAGCAAAATAAGGAAGAGGAAAAAGGGAAGAAAAAAGAGAAGGGGAAGAACAAAGGGAAGAAGGAGGGGAAAGGGCCGAGTGAGGAGCAGGTGAAAGCCCCTATTGCTGCTCCGGAGCCTGAGCTTAAAACCGAGCCGGACGCTGAGCAGGCTCCGGATCAGCACTCAGTGAGCAGCACAGAGACGCAGGTGAGTGTGGCACTGACGGATATTACACCTAGATTATCTCTAGTATTGCATTTTGGGAAATCTGCTTATTTGCAGAGAGTTGGGTGAGAAGATTGATACCACTCTCTTATCTGTTTAAATAGGAAGCTACAGCCTGCAGTGTGTGCAAGTGTAAATTGTCTTATCTTTTTGACAGAGCCAGGCTAGACATTTGTATCTGCTTTCTATTTTAATGCTAAGCTAAGCTAACCGGCCTGTAGCTTCATATTTAATGGACAGATATGAGAAATCCCAAAAGGTCAAGCCTTTCTTTTAATTATAAGTCTTCAATCTCAAACAGCATTGCAGATGAAGGTCAGAAAGAGAGCTCTCCTGTATATAAATCCATGCTGCAGATTTGACTGTAGTAGGGGAACACATGTTTTTTTTTTTCTTTCTAATGAATTTTTTATGATGTGCTTGCTCAGCGAAAGTAACTATTGCTGGTTTGAGCTAAAAGCTTAGTCAGAAACAAAAAATATCCATGCTGGCCTGAACAGCAGTACATTTACCGAGATATGTAGTTCATAATCATTAACAAAAACATGCTTTTCATTTGTATTTGACACACTTTTGCAAATGTCTTGTTTTTGCCTCTACCAGCCGCCTCCAGAGGAACACAAGGAGGAAGCTGTGATAAAGAAGGAGCCTGAAGCCGTGGAAGTGAAGGAGGCGGACACAGAGAAAAAAGAGGAAGAACCAGCGAAACAGGAGAAAGAAGCCAAAGGAGAGGAAAAGGCGAAGGAGGAGGCGAAGAAGGAGAAACCTGTAAAAGAAAAGAAGACAGAGAAGAAGGCAGAAGAAGCTAAAGGCTCCAAACGTCAGAAAACCATGCAGTGCAAAGTCATCTTACTGGACGACACTCAGTTTGAGTGTGAGCTTGATGTAAGAGACCTCCCAAATGGCTATCATCCTTGTTAAAGATGAATATGGTTATGAAGACTGATGAATATCCCTTTCCCTCTGTCTGTGTGTCTGTCTTTCTCGTGTAGAAACATGCTAAAGGCCAAGAACTTTTAACTAAGGTGTGTGACCATGTCAACCTGCTGGAGAGAGATTACTTTGGCCTCGCGAACTGGGAAACACCGACTAACAAGGTAGGCTGCAACAGCATAACCAGATATTTAACACAACACTGACGAGAAATTTGGTTGTGAGAAGTGGGTGATTTTTTTGATTTATTTTTTTTTCCCCCTCATTTTCCACAGACATGGTTGGAAGCCACCAAAGAGATCCGGAAACAGGTTTCGGGTGCTGTGTATGAGTTTACATTCAACGTGAAATTCTACCCTCCCGATCCAGCACAGCTTACTGAAGACCTGACCAGGTGAATGTCTCAAGGGTTAAAGGGATAGTTTGCTTGAAATCGACTAATTCACAGATATATAACGTTATTTAATGAGCTTTATTCTTAAACTTTGGTCATAGCAAGGCTAACAGTTCCCCCCTGCTTCCAGTCTTTATGCTAAGCTAAGCTAAGCTACGTGGTCTCGACCGTCTCATCTAACTCTCAAGAAAGCATGAAAAACCAGAATTACGTTTTTATGTCTTTGTAAATGAGCTTATTTTTTCCTTTCACGTCTTCTTCAGGTACTTTCTGTGCCTCCAGCTGAGGAAGGACATTATGCGTGGTGTTCTTCCCTGTTCCTTTGTCACACTGTCCCTGCTGGGCTCCTACGCAGCCCAGTCAGAGCTCGGAGAGTATGACCCAGAGCTCCACGGAACTGACTACGTTCATGATCTGAGCCTGGCCCCCGGACAGAGCAAAGAGCTGGAGGAAAAGGTGATGGAGCTGCACCGCACATACAGGTAATCAAAGGGGATGGGCATTGATTGAAGCAACATAGTGATGGCAATCTTTAATTAACACATAATTCAACAAGCTGTGAAGGATTTTTATATAATTGTTTAGATGATTTGACTTTTTAAATAGTCCAGACAATAAAATGTATCTTTGTGAAGACCCTTCTTGTCTGTGTTTTACCAGGTCAATGAGTCCAGCCCAAGCAGACATGTTGTTTCTGGAAAATGCCAAGAAACTTGCCATGTATGGAGTTGACCTGCACCATGCCAAGGTAGGGTTTGGTTTAAATGATTTAGTGTTGTGCGGGTTAATTGATTTATTAAATGCTTAAGTTCATAATTCAAGTATGTACTGACTTCCTTTCGTTTTTAAAATGTGTGTCATTGTTTTGCAACAGCATTCTTGTATTACATCAGTAGCATCCAGAATTTAATTACAAAATTGATGTCAGCCCCCCTTTCCAAAAAAAAGGGAGAGATTAATAACATTTCAAACTCTATGACCTCAAAATCCATGTCCTCATAGTGTGGGAAAGTCTGCCTCCCAGTGACTGTTCATTGTAAGTGCAGGGTTAGGGTGATGTGTGCACTGCTATAGTATCATAACAACAAGTTCATCGTCCTGTTTTTGTGCGTGCAGGATCTTGATGGTGTCGACATTACGCTGGGGGTTTGCTCTAGTGGCCTGATGGTTTACAAGGACAAGCTGAGGATCAACCGTTTCCCCTGGCCCAAAGTGCTCAAGATCTCTTACAAACGTAGTAGCTTCTTTATCAAAATCAGGGCATCAGAGGTAAATCTGAATTTACATTTTTTAATTTTTACATTATACATTTACATTTCTTATCTTTCTAACTCATCGCAACCCTAATGCCCATCCACAAACATTTTCTCTCTCCTATCTGTTGCCTTGGTCTTGGAATTGTGTCAAAAACTGACTTCTATAAATACCTACAGATTAACTGTGGTCCATTACTTAGACTTATTTTTATGTTCCTAAATTGAATTTATCACAGTAATATTACAGTATAATATGTATTACACACATAATTGTGGGATTATAATCGCATTGTTGACAGTTCTGTTTACTTGATAAGTAGCATTTAAAAATATTTCAGCAGTAATGTTTTTCAATTTAAGAAATTTTAGAATTGACAATTGTTTTTTACAAAAAGTTTAATTCAACCCAGATCTGGGGTAAACCTTTCATGTTTCATGCTGCGTGACAGAATAATGTCATTGACATAAGGTCATTATATTCATTTTCTTTTTATTTCTTTTCCTCACCTCCAGCAAGAGCAGTATGAAAGCACGATTGGCTTTAAACTGCCCAACTACAAAGCCTCGAAGAAGCTGTGGAAAGTTTGCGTTGAACACCATACCTTCTTCAGGTAAGACCTTACCTTATTGTGAACGACACTTTCCTCCCTGGCAACAGAGGCCATTCTCAGGTTCTGCCTATCCCCTAGATAATTGGCTAACTGGTCTATGCAGCTTAAGCACTATATTAGCTCTCTGTCAGTTTAACCACAGAAGAAAAGCTACCTGCCCGTGGTCCTGGACTTAGAATTAAACCTCAAAGGTTTCGTCTACTTAATGAGGTGAAGGTCAAAGTTGTTGCTAGCCTGGTTGCATAACAGTGACAATTTTTAGGGAATGCAATCCTTTGCTTTATTATAGTTTGTGTTTGAATTCCTGGTATGTGGATCTGTCACTCTGATGGAATAATCAAATTAATTAAATGGTGGGTGGATGATAATTAACAAGTATTTTTGTCCCTCAGAGTTCCAACAGTAGAGCCCCCGTCAACACGTCGCTTCCTCGCCTTGGGCTCTAAGTTCCGGTACAGCGGGCGCACTCAGGCTCAGACCCGCCAGGCCAGCTCCATGATTGACCGCCCAGCCCCTCGCTTCACACGCTCTGCGAGCAAGAGGCTTTCCCGTAACCTAGATGGAGGTATGTGTGTGTGTGTGTGTGTGTGTGTGTGTGTGTGAGAGAGAATCCGTAGTGGAATCTTTGAGCCACGCGCAAATCTCAGTAAGCTACATTGTGACTTGTTTGGCTCTTCTAGCTGGAGATGAAACTCTCCAGTTCCTGCGACAACTATCGGCATCAACCAGGTCTGAGGTTGATGATTGGTCACTGTTGCTGGCATCTGAAAAACCACAGCCTTCTCCTATATTCCCAGGTACCAGGAACTGTGTGGAGCTGCACCAGCGCTTTTTCTGGCAATATTTGCAGTATTTATTTTATTCTCGCTCGCAAACAGCCTCATCACGCCATTTAACATGCTCATCCGTTGTGGCTCATTTGCTTTCATGCCCGTTAAACTTCTGAAGAGATTGTCAGCTGCAGCACAGCTCTTGTCAGAATGCTGACCTACTGTGACATGTGGGTAATGTCACCCACCTTGTACTTTCCCTGGCATGATCCCAGGGTATCTTGGGTCACTGTAAACTCTGAAGTAAGTAAGGAGTTTCCTCACACAATTATGCACAGGCGTTTCCAGTCTTGAGGCTGCTGTTCCTCACTTTTTGGCATTTTGAGAAGTTGCTGCTTCATGTGTGTTGCACAATGGCTTTCATTTGCTTGTACTTTTTATGTTCAACATCTTAACAGACTGACTCACTCAGCACTTCTCCAATGGCTGCCATTAACAACAGGATAAAGCTGGAACTTTAACCATTCAAAAAGTAATCACCATCTGTTCTTGTTATGATGGATGAGAGGCAACTTTCATTCAGCTTCCTACTAACCTCAGCTTACTGGACCCAAAATAGTCTGGTACAAATGCTTGGCATCTGGCTTTGTTCAGAAACATGCTTGAAGCACTGTGAAGCATTCGCAGTTGGCCGTCATCACTTCAGTAGAGCCATTACATAACTGCCATCACCTCGTCATCTCTTCACAGCCAGAGGGGAGTCCGAGCAGACTTTCGTTCAGTCCTTGGAGGAGGGGCAGTCTGTTCACACAGTCACAGTAACCTGGCAGGACACTGAGACTGGGCAGACTGGCTCTCAAACTATCAACCAGACAGCCAGTCAGCCGTGGCAGGAGCTGGCATCTGATGAGCAACAGCAGAGGAGAAAGGATGACGAGTGGTCTGCCCTGCTCCAACGCTATCCCCCCTTTCCATTTGTCCCACCGTTTGATTTTGTGAAACAGCCAGGTATTTGCACTTTTCATGCCTGCCAGTGGTTTTTGTTGCAGTTTGCCATAAGGAAATGTGAACCCAGAATCTCTTAATCTTTCACTTTGGCTTGGATTTTAAAGAACCTGCATCTAATTTGTATTTATTCCGGCCAGGATGAACTTTGTAAAATGATACCACTACATGTACACCGCATTATCCAGCATGTGGTGCTTTTCTGCCCCTTGTTTTCAAGTATTTTCACTTTTTGTGTGTTACTGTTGTCTACTCATCTGTTATAAAATTGTTCATTGTTTCTCTGATGTTGTCAGCTAAGCTCAGCTTGGCGAATATTAGCTCTATGGACAGGCTATTGCAACCAGCACTGACACAGGAAGATGATTGGTACCTTTACTTTGACCGAATCTTCAGCCTTTCCTCGCTTGAGCTTGTTGACAAACCATGTGAGTTTCTTTGTGTGGAAATATGAGCTACAATTTGAATACTGTCAGTACAAAAAAGGATTTAAGCCTGAAATGTGAATCACATTTTAGTTCTCTTCATGGTTGATTTTGTTTTACTTTCCCCTCCCAGTCTCTCCTGTAGCTAAGTACCAGCTCCAGGAGGAAGATGAGCAGGGCATGCATATGGCAGAGCAGGAACTGACCAATGAGGAGGTCATTGAGAGGCTACAGCAAACTGTGACTTTGGTAGATAAACTGAGAGAGGTGGATGTTTTGGAAAAGAGGCTGAGGGAAGTGAGGGATTTAGAGGAAAGGCTCCAAGAAGTGGATGAGATGGCAGAGAGACTTCAGGAAGTAATAGAAGATGAATTGGGTAAGGAAGAGATAGATAAGTTAAGAGAGGAAGAGAGAGATTTGGAGCAGAAAGAACGAATACAAGCTAAAACTATAACAGAAACAGTGGTGAGGAAATCAGTGAGGAGAATAGAGACAAATGAGGATGAAGTGGATGAACTGGAGGAGCAGATAAAGCGGGTGTTTTTAAAAGGCTTGTTGCCTGAGGAAGAAGAGGCAGAGGTGAAGCAGGAGAGTGAGAAGGAGGCGACAGACGAGAGTCTGTCATATGATAGCTTCATAGGGAATGTACGCCAGATAGAAAAGGAACAGCAAGACGAAGTGAAGGATACATCTGGCTCTTCAGATGTCACCGGTACCACGTCTATAGTAGCATACCGGAAGGTGGAGCGTAGGACTAAGAAGAGAGTGACTATTGTAGAAGACAGAGGGCAGTGGCAGGAAGAAATGGAAGAAGGACAGGCTGGTGTCATGTCAGAGGAGAGGCTAGAAAAAGAGGAGACATGGCGTAAAACAGAAATAGTGGAGGAGATAACTGAGAGAAAAGACAGAGAGAGGCTTCAGCCTGAGGATCCATCTCAGGTGGCAGATCAGGACATCTGGTTCATACTTTTCGACCGCCCTCCATACAAAGCTATTTTCAAACCACCAGGTACAGTATGTCATTGTGCAAACATAACATAACTATATATTAGACCTCTTCTAATACCTAAAATATTGTAATATCGCTACAATTTCTTTCTCTAATACTTTTTGTGCACTGTTTACATTAACAATTGAACAGTCAATTGGCCACAAGACCCCCTTTAGATTCAACAGAAAGTGAAGTTAATGGAAAAGTTAACTGGCTGGTTCCTAGATATTTATTGCTCTCCCCTTTCTTTTATAAATGTAATTTGACATTTGTGAAAGGGCTATCTGTGCTGGGTATAGATCGGATGTTGATGTAGATGTCCTAATGGTGCAAAAAGTGTAAAAATATGGATATCACAGACTGGTGAATCCGGGAAAACTGGAGCATTTAAAGCGTTTCCCTTCAGCCATCAGTCTGGGAATTAATAATCATATATACAAGTATCATCCATAGAGTTTCATCAGCTTAAAATATTGACCAACTAGTTTTTGTTTTTTTTCCTCTTGAAATTGTACTTATCAGCTGCGACAATGAGGTGTTTGACTGTGGATTTGCAGTCTTAGTAATATCTATATTTTGGAAATCACCCAGGTTCAAAGATTGTGTCTTTACTGTCATCATTAGTTACCACTGTGGAACGCGCTCAGGTGGATGAAGGCGAGTATTTCAGCTCAATGACTGAGATTACAACAGTTGAGGAGAAAACAGAGATTATAGTAGAAGAGAGACAAACAAGAGAAGAGGAAGTTTGGCATATACCAGAGATCCCACCACCACAGACCATCACAGAAAGAGATGGTGACTGGTTTGTGCTGCTGGATGTTATTCCCAGAGAAACACCTTATGTGCCACCAGGTACTGTTAAAATCCCCTGTGCTGCTTTTCAATACCACTTTGGCTCTCTTGTGCTTTATTTTGTGCTTGCTTGCTATGTATAGCAAGTGTGCATGACTGCTGCTTGTGTTAAAATACTCTCTCATAACTTTACTCATCTCAGTGACGTTGAAGGGAAGAGACCCGATGGATGCAGAAAGTTTTGTCTCTGTGGACGGAACTGCAGTCGGTGAGGAGATTAGAGAAGTAGTAGCTGAAGAGAGAAAGATAATTGAAGAGGCTCCGAGACGTCCACAAGAAATCCCACAAGAAATCCCACAAGAAATCCCACAAGAAATCCCACAAGAAATCCCACAGCAGCTGCAGACAGACAGAGATGATGACTGGTTTGTGTTGCTGGATGTTGTTCCCAGAGAAACATCATATGTACCACCAGGTATTGCTAAAATCCTCTGCACTGCTTCACAGCTTTATCAAAGAAACAATTATCCTGAGCTTTGCATATGCTCTTATCCTTAAATCCCCTGTACTGTCCATAGGGTCTGAGCATTTTTTAATCTCTTTTGTCTTAGTTGCTGTTGCACAGCGTGTTGAAGTGTCTCCAAAAGAACGTGCCTCTGTGGTTGAAATAACAACAGTTGAGCGGAGAGAAAAAAGAGTGGAGGTTGTGGTAGAAGACACAGAAATGAAGACAGTGCAGAGTGAAAAGCAGGTAGTAGCACTGCCACAGGCTGTGAAGGCTGTGAGAGAGATAGAAGATGACTGGTTTGTGCTGCTGGATATTCCCGTTAGAGAACCATCATTTGTGCCACCAGGTATTTTTAAGTCCTAAGTCCATACAAGCATATTTTGTCTCTTTTGGTTTAAGTTTTTTACAATACTTGTTCATTTTGTTTGTCATTAGTTACTATGGCTGAGTACGTTCAGGTTTATCCTGAGGAACGCTTTTCTACTGTGCCTGAAATGATAACAGTAGAGTCCAAGAGGGAGGTTGTAGTTGAAGAGATTGTGGTGCAGAAAGAGGACAAGAAGCTTCCCAAGCAAATAATTCCAGAGCAGAAAATATCCCAGCCAGTCAGAGCAAGAGACGACGACTGGTTTGTGCTGCTGGATGTTATTCCCAGAGAAACACCTTATGTGCCTCCAGGTACTGTTAAAATCCCATGTACTGCTTTTCAATACAACTTCGGCTCGCTCATGTTTTATTTTGTGCTTGCTTGCTATGTATAGCAAGTGTGCATGACTACTACTTGTGTTAAAATACTCTCTCATAACTTGATCATCTCAGTGACATTGAAGGGAAGAGACCAGATGGATACAGAAAGTTTTGCCTCTGTGGACGGAACTGCAGTGGGTCCAGGTACCAACAGCTTTCAAATGTCTTTATTTTATTTTTACACCTATTATCATACCATAGAAGACTTGGTGTCAAGCATACTAACCATTTAACTATTTAAGATTTAAACTCATATTATCCTTCTTTTTGCTGAAGCTTGAGTATAAATTCTGTTTGTTTTCAGTTTCTCTGCCGTTACCGAGACAAATCTATGAAAGTGTTCAACCGCAAATTGAAGTAATAAGCATAGAGCGGAAGCTGCAGCAGGCTGATCTTGACCAGATTAGACTGCAGCCTTCCCAGCCACTGCCAGAGAGAGAAGATGACTGGTTTGTACTGTTTGATGCTATTCGTGAAGAGGCAGTCATACCACCATCAGGTATATGTAATATAATATGTTTGCACCCCGTCAGATTTCACTTTGAAACGCATATCATTGCTTACTTTATTTGCCATTTGTTACATTTGGGCAGCTTGTAACTTGCTTTTAGCGTCAGACATTTGTTTAGTGGATATACTGTGTCACTCAGCCTCTTTGTCTGTTTTGCCAGTTACTCCTGTTAAGATTATTTCGGATATGAGGAAGTCATTTGAGGCTGAGGTGAAAACCACAGTGATTACAACATGGAAGCAGACGATAATTGGTGTGGACAGCAGGCAAGATGAGACACGTCTGCCTGAAATTAGACCTAGCGATATCGCCCCACCATCAGAAAGGGAAGGAGGAGATGATTGGTTCATCCTGTTGGACGTCATCCGTAAAAAGCCTGTTGTCATGCCACCAGGTACCTTTCATTGCCAAATGGTCTGCATACACTGTGCTGAAAAAAGATCAGTTAAGCGGTGGCTAATAAGCCTTTATTTTCATCAAATTTACTTACCCTAATTTTTCTGTTAGTTGCTGTGGCTGAGCGTACTGTGCATGTGGTGGCAGCCACCGAACCAAAACCAAAATTCATCATGGAAGATGTGAGGCCACCTGTGAAGTTGGTGGAGATTAAACCACCACAGCCGAGACAGGTGGATGATGACTGGTTTGTGCTGTTGGATGTTGCAGCAAAAGCACCAGGTATTCTGCTGTTTCATGTGTGGCTGATACAGCGAGATGTAGTCAGACATAATAACATCGTGCTGGTTATATATTTCACCTTGTTCAGTATATTTGTCGGTGGAATTGTGTTCCGACTGTGAAGGCTTTGCTTGTATCCTGCATTAGTGGCTGTGGACGAACCTATCCGCATGCGTCCTGAAGTCAGACCAGCTGAAAAGTTTGCAGCCATAGAACAGAGAGAACAGCAGAGAATCACTATAGTGAAGGAGACGTGGCAGCAGGAGAAGGTGGTACAGCAGAAAACACGTCCAGCAGTGAGAGAGGTGGAGGATGATTGGTTTATTCTCCTGGATGTGGCCTCTAAGAAATCAGGTATAATCAAAATGATTTTGTCCAGTTATACAGACATTTCTATAAGTGCACCTACTTACTGTGCTGTATCACTGTAAATGCAAATGCTTTACTTCTCCAATTATACCTGGTTGTGTATTTGTATTAGTCGCAGTCCCAGAGCGCATCCAGTTCCCAGCAGTAGTGAGAGGGCCACCTGCAGTGGTGAGAGGGCCATCTGCAGTGGTGAGAGGGCCACCTGCAGTGGTGAGAGGGCCATCTGCAGTGGCCAAAACAAGGATTTCCATTTCCGAGACAAGACCGCAGTTTGGGAAACGGATCCTGGAGGAAAGACATCCGCTCGCACATACGCATGTCAATGATGATTGGTTTGTTCTACTAGATGTTGGCCTCAAAGAGTCAGGTATTTTTAATTTTTTAAAACCTGTTTGGGGTTTGTTTTGCAGATGAACAGCTCACACGTGGTCACGCTTTCTTCGCGCCATGAAACGCTTATTAACACTTCCAGCCTGTTTACAGGATGCACCATCTTCACGAGAGAAAGTGTCCATATGGCAATGCACATCCAGCATTATTCAAGGACCTCTGAACGCGCTACGTTTCGCATATTGAAGAGATAACGCTTTCTTAATCTCAGCATTTCACCAGTTCAACACATTGAGCTTTATACCTCCTTGCAGCGTCATCTGCCTTTGCATCTGTCATCGGATCATGACAAGAACTAATCCATGCTTTTGCTCTCATTCCACTTTGTGGATATTCGCTTCTGGTCCACCTTTGCTTCTTGTTCTTTTAATCGAGACTGAACGAAAGCATATAAGGTACAGTATACCCCTGCAGAGTGTGCGCTTATCTGATCCCATCAAGGCCTGTGGTTCGAGACTGTAAGTACGATGTGGCCGTTTGCATAGGTGCTGTATTGTGTACTATTGTGTGTTTATATGTTGCTATCTTATTCAATGTGCATACGACCTTATCCCTCCATAACACATCGTCCTAAAAATATTTGCCTTTATTCACGCTTCCATTTTGTCTGTATTTTGTGTAGTGGTGAGCACACAGAGGGGCACCCGGCCTGTCAGTGCTCCGGTCTTCTCCCAGGCTGCTCTGGCAGAGGCAGGGATCCCAATGGCACCTTTCGATCAGCCCCAGACCTCCACTCCAATCAAGACTGGCCGCAAGGAGGAAAGAAGGCTGCAGGTCACAGTAGAAACTGTGGAGCCCTCAAAAATCGAAGCTGTGGCTGAGGTCAAGGTAATCAATTTCTCTATTTACTGTTTTATGTAATTGATCTCAGTAAAAGTCTAAAGGTTTATGTGCTGAAAAACTGTAGCATCATATATGTATGTAAACCATATATGCCTTCCAGGATAGCTGGTGCCAGTGGAAAAATGAATTATTTATAACGTTATAACATAATGATTGCCTGGGTGTTTTGATTGTAGATAATGGTAACTATAAAATATAATGAACTCTTCAATGTAATTGCTTCATATTCATTAATAATAAACAATGCTACAAGTAGTGAGCAGAGATTGTTCTCTGTCTGAGTGTGAACTGTGTCTCTCTTGCTGCTGTAGCCAGCAGTGTGGAGGGACCAGAGAGAAGTACACTCTTCACTGATATCCACCATCAATGGGGACATTCAGGTTAGTGTCAGACACTGGCCTCTCATTTCCACGTCGCCCCTCAGAAGACTTGTTTCCACTATGGCTGAGATGTGAGTGTTGAAGCCAACAAGCAGAGGATGCTAACATGTGTCCCTCTCTCCTCCCTGGGTTAGCACGAGTCTGAGGCGATGAGCACGGAGGTGGTGCGAATGCGAAAGGTCAGATTCTTAGCCTCGTGTACGTTTGTGTAGCCATTTCTCCACCTCCATTCTGATTTATATTGAGCTTTCTCATCCAAAAGGCTAATCTCACCCTCTTCTCATGTTGTGCTTCCATACGGCTAGGTCTTAAATGAAATCCACATCAGGTTCGATGCACATACAGCATATTTTTAAGGCGTAGACAAATGTAAGAATAGATGGAATATGTTAAAACAGTTTATAGAATAATATTACTTCTGAAGAGAGTATGCTTGCTTCGAAAAATATATGTTTTTACATTTAAAAGTTTACAAGGCATTCATTTCTTCTCATTGCTTGCTGTTGTTGTAAACCCTGGAATGCACACATGCATGATTATAGATTAATGCACATTACTAAAAAAGTGGCATGATAACTGGTGTTGTATCACATTTCTGTCACTCCATCGTTCTTTATATTTTTTCTCATTATAAAAATAGAAATCTTAAGTCAGTCCTCTAGAGCCTTAAGTTCTTTGCTTTGTTGGTACATTGCAGTTTGGCCCCTATGGCCCCGAACTACTTTGCATGCAGACTCCTCCCAACTCTCTCTGTCTGTTGTATTAACACTGTAGTGAATTTCATAGTATGCATGTCCAAGGTGTGGCACTTTTAATGTCAGCACCCAGGGAAACTGAAACAAACCCACACTCTTTTTTTTGTTCTCTTCATTTTTCACAGAAAAGAGCTAAGAAAATTGAGGGTGACTCAATTTATATCAGACATAGCCTTTTAATGTTGGAGGTTTGTATCCCTTCTGGAGATGTCGGTCTCTATCTGTATTTTCTTGCTCTTTGGCACAGCGGCCGCCGTTTAATATCACGCTTGCATGTGGCATGATTCGCACTTTTTGCATCAGCACAAATGATTGGCTGTAGATTATATGATAAGTTTGTGTGTGTGTGTGTGTGTGTGGCAATGTAACTCTAATCCGGTTGTTTCAGGAGAGTGCTGTTGAATTTACAACACATAAGTATGGTCAGGATTCTTACACTTGCATTGATTTGCACAAACTTTTATGGATACTTAAACCGTTCCTAATGATCAGCCCTGTGATGTGGCTGATGAGCTAACATTTAAGCTAATCATCTTTTCTAGACATTCTTGAAGCTAGGATTCACAAGCAGCTCCATTTTTATGATATATATTTTTTTTTCCAGATCATCAGTATTCTCCTGTTCCTGCTTCTGCTCTTTCTACCTCCATCTCATTTTCTAACTTGCCAATAATGCACTGCACTTTCTCAGCAGTTATGCAAATGAACTCTTTTGACCATAATAATTATACATCTTTGCTTTTGTACATGAAAGGAATGATGTTTGGAGAAACACTTATCATTAAGTTGCTCTTTAGCACCTCAATAAGTCACGATTAAGACTCAACGATTTCTGTTCATTGACTAGGTCATTGTTATTTTGGTAAAATTGGTGTCAATAGTTCTCAATAAAGATCAACTTGGTGCTAAATGTTGCCAAATCAGTGCCGCTACTGTTGCTTTTGTTCATTTGTGTTAAATGAACAGGTTTCCATTTGTTACTGAGGCTTCATCTTTGACAACTTGTTACCATGTCTGCTGTCATCACCTTTCCTGCTCTCTGATGTGCAGCCACGGCGTGTGTCATTGCAAGCCTAATGCTATGAAACAGACCCCTAATGCTATCATGTATAGTTTATAGCTCTTACCCATCCAAAGGTCAAATAGTAATTAACTTGATGAATCATGGCACCGACTCCTCTGAATCTTTCCTTGATGAACCAAAGTCTGGTCTCATGAATCCGCTTTTCATTTTGAAAAGGAGTCGCTGATAATCTTAAGAAGAATCAACATGATCATCTAGATTAATGGCCCCCTCTAATTTATGTTCCTATAGAATCACCAATTAACCCTGCTTCTGCTTGTTTAATCTGCAATAAATCAACACAAACTGGACAGAAAAACAGCAAAAAGAAACATTCTTTAACTATTCTTTCCTGTTTGTTTATCTCTCCCAACTACGAACATATCCTTCATCTTCCCTTCCCCTCCACATCTTCACTTCCTCCCCTCATTGTTTCTTTGATCCACTTGCCTCTATCAAATGTCCTGGCGCCTTCCTCCCCTTCCCCCCTCCACACTGTCTTTTCCCCTCCGACTTTGCTCCGTATAGGAGTTCGATAAGCCTCAGGAGGACCTGCTCAAGCATCATGCCAGCATCAGTGAGCTGAAGAGGAACTTCATGGAATCCGTCCCGGAGCAGAAGCCCAGTGAATGGGATAAGCGTCTGTCCACGCACTCTCCGTTCCGCACCCTGGGTATCAATGGTCAGCCTCTGCCCAGTGCAGATGGGGTAAGTCTCCCACAGAAACCACTCGCCGCCAAATCCACTGTTTTAACATACTGTCAGTTCAGGAATTGGAGAAAAAAAAAAGAATTCAAATTGAATGAACAATTCCTGAATTGACTTGGTTAAAGTTGTATTTTTTACGTTACGGTACGTCATCACAATTGTCTTCCATGGCTCTGCATTTTCAGAGATTATTGTACTTGATTGAAAAAACTTCACTGCACTGGTGTGAGTAGTGTGCATGAGTTTGTGATGGAACAGAAGAACCTGAAATTCTTGTCTTTGACTTGATTTTTTTAATGTTTGTGTCATTTTGAACATTTGCTGCATTCGATCAGATTCCGTTTTTTTTCATGATGAATATATTCAAATGAAAGAAATTGATAAAAGAGGGGATCAGGCTCTTCCAGTCATCATTCCTGGCTCTCTTATGGTTTAATGGATTGTGTGTGCATGTACAGACCTATTCAAGGCAGTGGCATGTGCTATGCAACACATGCATGTGTATGAAGAATGCAGTCGGACTTGTTGAATAAGGTCTGTACTTTTATGTTCTTTCTCTTGAAAGACCGATGTGGGCGACGCATCTTTGGGACAGGTTGTCCACTCTCTGAGAACTCACTTTGGTTCATCTTATCTGCATTGGTTGTTCTGAACCCTGACATGTTTGTATTGCATGACTGACAGACTTGACGTTCAAAGTTTACTGCATGACTCAGAGATGACCCTTTCATGAATTTACCCTTTTCCCCATCTCCTCTGTCCCTCCTTCATTAAAGAGCTTTCTTTCTGCTTTTAATACTTTTTTCTTTGCACACTTTCTTTTCACATTGTTTTTACCTTTTCCAAACCTTGGTTGTTTATCCATGAAGAGACAAGGCCTCATTCCCAGTTGTATCAGCAGCCCCACTCTCCTTGTAGGAAATTATAATGTAACTAGCACAGGATTCCAGTTTAAAACTAATATATGTGTGTCATTACTGCTATTAATTACCAGTTGCTGTTAAAAAGATGACTGAAAGCTATTCTGTGGACGAACACAACCCCAGTCTAGTTGAGCTGTTACGTGAATAAACAAGTGTAATCTACTGAGGGTCATTTTGCATGCCTTCTGGTGAGTCATTAACTCATCTGGCTGCAGTATAACGGTTTAGACACAAAGCATTTTTACACTTGAAGATAAATGCCTCCAACTACATCATAGTGTCAGGATGCATTAGCGTTGCAGTGAAACCAGAGCAAAGCTAAACTGACAGCTCACAGTCTGGAGTGAGGAGATGAAGAAGAGCAAATGTACAAAATGTTTGATGTAAGCAGTCAACAGTATGACTGGTCAAATGTTGTCTGCCTAGTGGAGTGGACACACACTATTTATGCTCAATTTTACAAGGCAGTTTGTCATTCTACTTAACCCTCAGTTGTGTATTGATAAACGAATAAGGCCTCAGCTGTGAGAAAGTATAGAGTACAGCAAGTTTGACATGAAGCAGCAGAATTGGCCCTCCTAGTGCTCATTAAAAATAAGATGTTGTTGGTTGTCCAGATGCCAGCTATAGGCTCTAAGCTACTGATATTATGAACCGCGACTACAGCTTAATGTTACTTCAGATTAGTTCGAAGTTTGGTTGCTGCCCAGCCACCACTGGGTAATTAGTGGGGCATCTGCACCAGTTTAACATCCTCAAGCTGAAGGCCCTAGATCATATTGGCTGTACTGACTCAGCTGATCTTATCTTACTGAGATAGCTCCATCCTAAAAATTTATAGAATTCATCTCTTTAAAATGAGACACTACAAGTGTGGATGATTTTCTGTCTTTTCCCAAAAAATAAATAAAAAAATGGAATTGTTGCACATGGAATGGATGGAAAAATGCATGTTAAAATGCATGTGCCAGTAACATTTCCATGCTCTTGACAACAAAATCACATTTCTGTCCAATGTAGGCATTTGCCGTGCTATTACATCTGCATTTTATATTTTCAGTCATCTGTTATTGCGCAGCTCTGGCTTTTAAAAGTTTTCGGTCATTGCAAACATTTCAAAATTCCTCCCTCTCATCTCTCTTCCCCTCCTCCTCCTTCCTCCCCCCCTCAGTTTGTCATCCGCCTCCCACGCGGCCCCCTGCTAGACTTCTACTCCAAACGCAGCTGAGGGGCCGTCTCGACCCTGCGGAAAATCCCACACAGGTGTGAGTGTGACCCGTGGAGACCGCACCTAGTCCATCTACTGTACCCATCAACCTTCTAGCTTTCTCTTCTCCTCCTGTCCTTCCTTCGCCTCCTCTTTAGCATCACTGTAGCATTCTTCATCTCTCATCCTCTGCTCCACTTGAGAAGCTGCCCCCCTTTTTGTTTTTGGCCTCTGTGGAGCAAGACTTTGGTTCCTTCTGTTTCCCACTGCAGCACAGTTGACCTGGTTTCTCCAGCCAGAAACAGACCTGTTCTCTAAATACTGATTTAGGACTGGAGATGACAATCAACCCACTACTCTTTCGCATTTTCTGTGACATCTTTTGGACTTTAAATCAACCAATCAACCAGTATTATCAAAACAACTGACTTTTATCTCACTTTGAGCCTGCTTTTATACACATTTTGAGGTACATTTATATTGTCAGTTGTCAAAGGATCTTGACTTCAGATAAGCTGATCACTGTGATGTGATTTTTGGATATATAAACTTTCTTCCTGAACTCACTCGAAGTAAGCACTAGAAAACGGCGGTCTTGTGAAATCTATCAATATACTTTGTCACAATGTAGTATTTCCTGTGATGGGAGACCCTGAGGCAGCTTAAATGTAATTCTAATTATCTTTTTTGTCCTTCACCAGTCTTTGATGAGGCAGTATGTAGCAACTGCAAGAAATTCCTTGTTGCATGACTTTTTGACAATCAGTTTTGACCAAAGAATAAAAGGCATTCCATATACAGTTCATACAATTTGTTTGTTCTCTTCAAGGACCCTGGATGTTATTGTTTAAGTTTCATTTATTCCTTTTTTTTTTTTTTTTTTTTTTAGTTGATGACTTGTCAATCAAAAGTAGTGTGAGTGGCATATCACTTTCTTATAGAAAGACAATCCATTTCATTCTGACGCATACTGAATTCTATTCATGGATGAAATAAGCAATATGGAGCGATACTTGTATTCAGTATCCATCTTATTTGGTAACCTCCTGTAGCATGTGCCACATGGAAATCAGTTAGGAAAAGGGTAAATTGTGGCCATGAAGGGATATACATGTTCTGCAATAATGTTTTGTTAAGCTGAGTTTTCCTATAAAGTGTAATATAAGCCCCAAAAAATCATCCAACTGAGCTGTAGTACCTCATAAAATGGATACTGTACTATATGTTGTAACATGCATGCATTATAATCTATATAACTATGACTTACTATACATCCTATGTCAGTAGGAAATACTACACCTACCCATGATCATGTAGTGACTATGTTGTGTCTTTTTTAGAGTCTGTGCATTAGTCCCCTTTGCAATGGTTCAGAGACAAAGTCTGCCCACGTGGAAACCGGCAGCAATTTGGGCCTTTCAGTCATTCCAAGTCCTACTGTGAGCCACAAGAGTGAGCCTGGTAGTATCGAAGCCCACGATGCTCCAGTTGAGGAAGCGTCATGTGATCAGGATGAGGTTGTAGTTTTTGACACCTCCTTGGTGCCCATCGTAGAGGTGGACATGGTGCAGCTGCCTCCCTCCCTCGACCCCTGCTGTAGAGCTATAGCTGAGAGCCTGGAGGAAGAAGGATCGTATCCCAACATGTCGATGTCGGAGTGCTCTGAGAGGATAGTTGGATCTTCCACAGCTTCTTATTTCAGGAGCGATGGTCCACAGGTCATACGCTGCTTCCAGGTAGCCTCCTGACCCCCCCCACCCTCTTTCAGGGTGATGCTGATTCTGTCTCTGCTTGGCCTCTTTATGATTTCAAGGCTGCCACACTTGCTCACTCCTTTGCAGCACCATTGCTAACCAAAACCTTGTAAATCTGCAATATGCAATATGAGTTGTGAATTATGCTCATACTTACATGTGGTTGCTGCAGAGGTGTTGCACAGTGATGTGCTACATTCTCAGCTATGGTGATGGGTCGCTGTAACATTAGCACATTCTTCTCTGCCACAAAACAGTGTTTTACATATTGACATTACTTTCATGATCTTTCCAACCTACTCATGGCTTGATATTTCAGTTTCTCTTTTCTTTTGTGGAAGAAGTTGGTGGTGGGAGGGGAAGGGAAGTAACAAAGTGACTCTGTTGTTTCCAAAAATCATAATTGAAATGAAGTTGGTGAGAAGGGGCTGTTGTGGTGAAAAATCACATCCACACAGAAAATGGCTTTGAAGGGTGCATGGTGTGAAACAAATTGGTTGCTGTGAGGTGAAAGTGTCTGGTTAAACAGCCACTGATGGGGCTATGCTCCCATCCACAGCCCCCTCTGGTGCAGACCCAGACAGTCACCATCACAGCTTCTTCCAACTCCCTACCCAGTGGCATCTCCACCACAGAGGTCCCCGTCGTCCCGACCAAGACCTTCATCTATGAGTCTTCAAAGGTAGGGGCTCCTGCACCTGCTCAGCCCAGATCTGTCTCAGGTACAGGCAATGGTTTGCATGGAGGGGGAGATATCATCAGCACCTTAAAACAAGCAGGTCTGGGTGGATCAGGCCAGGGGCTCCATCATGAGCATAAGGCAGCACTGCCCCTTCCCTGGCTGGAGCTCAAAGTCACATTATTTAAAATATTACTCACTCCTACCTATTTTTGGTCTTTTTTTTTTATTCCTCAGGAGACAGACGATGGGACAGAGAGCAAAGATAGCACAACCGTGTCCAGCTCCAAAACCGTTACCTCGGAGATCACCAGTGGCACCACAGTCACTACCACTCACATCTCAAAGGTCAGCAGCACAGTCTTGCTCTTTGTTTATTGCATTATATTTTATTTGCCTCGCAATTAAATCTTTTTCTCTATCTACCAGGTAGTGAAAAGTGGATCTACAGAGACTCGTGTGGAGAAGAGAATCGTCATAACTGCAGATTCTGACATTGACCAAGATAAGGTACACACCCCTCTGCATATGACACAAAGCAGTCATAGACAGAATATTACAGGAATAGTTTGACATTTTGGGAATTAACCTAGTTTTCTTTCTTACTGAGAGTTGAATATTGATAGCAGTTAAGAGGCTCCTCCTCAGTTAAGAGGCTCCTCCTCTCCTCACCCTGTGATTAAAACAAACGCTGAATAACGCAGTTTCACAGTGTTTCTTCTATGCTTTTCAACTGACAAAGCATGTCCTGGAGGGCCTGCCAGCCGACGTTAGCTCGGCTTGTTTCTTTGATAGCTTAAGATCCAGACATCCGATGACCAAAATCCTTCATCCAGTTAAAATATATAGTTAACGAGCAAGATCCAAAAAGTAAAATCATAAACATGTGTCCTAAAACTAGATAAAAAGTCAGTTTATGACAGCTTCTGGCAAACAAGATGGGAGGTTTTGTGCCAGACTGCTAATAATATTTTATAGTTGAAGGCTTCATAGGCATGAGAGAAACATCAATCTTCTCATCTAACTCTCAGCAAGAAAGCAAATAAACGAATTTCCCAGAACATCAAACTATTCCTTTAAGGAAGGAATAAGAGAATTCTGACTTTCATTCATTTACATAAAAACTAATACGAGTGCAAATAATGTCTGCCTTGCAGGGGAAAGATGGCGGAGCATCAGCATTGTAACTGAATCACCACCTGCATTTATTCCTTTGACTCTCCAGCTTTCATCCCTTCATCAGAGTGCAGAACTCGGTGAACAGCTCTATCTGCGCACACATATCCAGAAAGAAATATCTCATAAATCTGCACCTAAAATTATGGATAACTCAGTTAGATGAATCTTAGTAGATCCTCTTTGTTTTGTCTTTCCTTTCTTATTTAATTTTTTTTCAGTTGAGCTGTTCATTGTAGGTAGAGGAGGGCTGCACAGTGCTCATGTTTGAACAAATGCTTACAGTATCTCAACCCAGGTGTTTAAAAAAAACTTAGTGAATACAATTTTATTGGTTTAAAAAAACAGCAGTTTCAGTCGTGTGATCTCAGTTATGTTTGCTTTTAAATGCTTTTTTTTCTCCCTAGTGGTTTTTACATTGTTGATTTTCTACAAATGCACTGTTTCCATCCTAGTTTAGACACCATTATCAGCATTTATTCCTTTGGTGCTGCTAGGGGAACGTTAAGACTACATTCAAGGGAACTGTTTTTGTTGTTGTTTACTTGTCTATTTAATTCAGGAGCAACTTTATTTTATAAAATTACATGAAATGACATACCTCGCATAGATATGTGATATTACGTGCTCAAATTTGGACAGTTGTGTGGTTTTGTTCACTGCTCAGGTACAAAAACATTAAAAAAAATCAAATGTTTTCTTCCCTAACCAGCTAAGAACCAGTAGCCTACATATTATTGTAAAGTTTGAATTAAAAATTGATCTATTTTTAAATATTTCTCTATTTTATAGAATTGCTTTTATAGTATTTGTACAAATTTGGGGTTTTTAAGTTATTCATATCCATCTGCTCATTAAATTGTAGGTTGCCATTGTGCTGTTTACGGAGTTATGAGGTCTCTATTTAAGACCCGCTTACCTGTCTTGCCTGACACCCTGAATCATTCTTATTCGTTTCCTCTTGTAGTCCACCAAGTTTATCAAACCTTTCACAACTTACATATGAGAATGGAGTGCTTCCCTCAGCCCTATGTTTTTGTTCAGTAGCATAGAAGTTATAATTGCTTTGAATATATTTGGTTGATAAGAGAAGTTTTACAAGCTTTGGTCTGTTTATCTCAGGTTTTGATATTCTTTGTAAGACTACAGACCTCCATATGATTGTATGAGTAATGTCCATATATGTATATCCATCCCTACTTTAAGAAGACTTACTTTAAATGTACATTTATGTTCAGCCAAGTGAGGTCAATAAATACAAAGTTTGTCTGTCACAGTAACCACACATTTTAAGAGGTGAAGGCAGCTGTCCCAGTGTATGTGGCTTTTCTCTCATAGGAGCACAAGTTGTCTTTTTTTACATGTTCTACTATACAGTAATTTATTTGTAAAGTAGGAACCGTCTCGTGTGATTTGATGTACTGTGATGTTTCAACACAAGCTGGTTTCCAGGCTTCCACTAGAGATGTCACAATGTTAAATATTGCATTCGTTATCAACCAAGTTTGTAAAGCCTTTTTACCACATAGTCTACATAGATTGCTCTGTAATTTTCCATAGAAGAGAAATTGCTTGAAAATATACAAAACCCTTTTAGATAGCATGTTTGTTAGCAAGCTTTTTTTAACCCAAAAAGAAGCCATTGGTATTGTAGCTACATGGAAAACAACAGAAACCTCTCCTGGAAGAAAACGTAGAATTTCACATGAAGAAATTAGTTTTTAGACAATGGAAAATATTGTTGCTTTGTGACTTATCCCTGTCTTTTTATGAAAAAATAAAACCTGCATTATTTTGCATTTTGTTGGGCTGTCTGTGTGTGAAGCATATGATATCTGGGTAAGAAATAAATATTTAATGCCACTCACTTGTTCCACAGTAGATGTTGCAGCTGCATGTTCAATCAACACCAAACGCTTGAGAATGTCACATCTGTCTAGATTGTAATACCGTAACATAAACATGATGAAACTACAGGATTATCAGGAACATGTTGTTACAGTTGCCTAAACAATCAAAGTACATACATACTGAATTTCAAGGCAAATGAACATAGTAATAAAATTTAAATCAAGCATAGGTCCATTTTTAACACGTTCTTTACCTCTAATTTGGTATTCATGGTTTCTTGAAAATAGCACCTTACCACACTTACAAATATTGCTGTTTCAAAATAAAATCCTTACTCTTTACAGAATAAAACCGTATGCACGTTCCAAAATGCAGCACAAGTTAATATGATCTGATGCAATTTAATGTTAACCTTAAAGTATTGACTGACTTTATCATGGATAAGGCAAACTTGTCAGGGGCTGGTGGCAACATTTCCTGTTACATTCATTCACCTGCAATTGAGCCACAAAGTACACTGTAGCTTTCATTAAAGTTAAAGCCACTTTTCTGTTTGGTAAAAAATGTGAAAAGATGCAATGACATCAATTTAAGTTAAACATTGTATCAGGAGATTTTCGATTTGGGGAATAATTACATGTTTGATAAAGAAAACTATCCTGCTCAACTGTAAGTGTGTCACTAAATGAGAGACTGTATCAACACAGAGGTGAGTTTGGGGAACTGTACAGGCATTCACTGCGATTATATAATCCTTTGCTTCAAACAAGTAGTAAACAGCACAGTCTTTGAGTCCACTGTGTTTGTCAAAGTGGCATTCTAGCGAATTGTCTTGACCGGGCTCTTGAAACTTGATGCAGCCTGAAGTTGAAGTTGATAAGCCATTGGGTGAATTTTGAAACCATACAGCCTGAAAAGAAAAGGAAAAAAAATACAATCATTTCTTGGACAGAAATAATTCTCTTTCTAATCCTCAAAGTCAAGGTGTTAGGAGTGTTATTAGTGTTATATTAGCTGATACTAGTGGCAACATGATACTCAGGCTCAGACATCCAATGAGGTCTAAAGCTAATTAGTCTTTTGGTGACTTGTCACTAAAAACATACCAATAAAGGCATGTTTTGGCTAGTTAAAGTTAACGCTAGCAACAAATAATACCTGGATCAGATCAAACCCACCTTGGCACAAACTGGTTGGCTGGTCGCTTTGGACGATACTCTGGGTGCACCATGAACAGCATGTGGGGGAACCCTGTCCCAAAATAGGCTCCATCTGTGTGGTGGTGTCTGGAGGATTTGGGGGTGTAAACATCCATGCACTTTGGGCAATAAAGCTTCACCATTGCTTCTCCAGGTATGTCTGACAAACCTACGTTAGACGAGAAATAAGGGACAGTTGAGTGTGTCTTCATAGCCACAGACAAAAGGTCAAAAGGTGCAGCAAGGGCAGAATGTGTTTGATGTGAGGTTAAGTCAGACTTACCAATAGGAAGCATTGGCTGATTCTCACAATAGACTCTGGGGCAATAGCCAAAATCCCCTTGTTGATACTTTTCCAACTACGGAGAACAACAAATTTAGAAACCAGTGTTAATTATTGTCACATAGCATGTAAGAATTTGAACTTATTAATTAAAAACCTTACCATCTGTGCAATGCCTCTGTTTGTGAGGATGTAACGTGCATGTATAAGCCCGTAGAGCATCTCTGCTGCCTGTTCTATTAAGTCACTCTGATTGGGGTTATCTTCAAGTTCCTCATCTGTCAAATGAAAGTGATTTAGACAGTTAAAGCGTTGACTCTTCTTAATTTCATTTCACACAGGCACTGCTACTTCCTTGATATTCTCACCTGGCTCCAGGTCAAGAATCATGTCCAAAGCTTGGCGATAGTGAGGCACCTGCTCATTCAAACCCGTCAGGTTAAACTTGTCCTGTATGTAGTCTTCATCGACCTGTGACACACAATTGAAGAGGTTGAATAGCTACCGATGGCGTTCATTAAGGTTACAGCACACTGATGTGGAAGCATTACATAAGAGCTTAACAGGATTACTAAGACGCTGCCAATGAAGAAAGCAAGGAGTTAAAATTAGAATTGGATTGTGTCAGGGCTAATCTATCAGACAAACAGCGTGTTCCACTCTAATGCCTACATTTGCCAAGTATTTTTTTATTTGAAGTGTTTTTCCTCTCACATGTCTCCCTAAAGTGCTTTTTGAGTGAGAAAGCCTCATGTGCTTCAAGTGGAAGATATTAGTACCAAACAGCAAAGGGAAGTGGCTACAACAGGCAGCTCTTAACTACAGGTCTTAAATGTGAGACCACCAAATGGCACACGTTGTTATTAACTAGCTTGTGTGGCCATCTCTATCTATGTGTTCAGGGCAAGACAAATGCGAGATATCAGTACATTTACATTTCATTTCAACCATAAAAAATACAGATGAAATAAAACATTGCTTCTGCTGAACAAAGGCGTAACACAAAGATAAAACCACTGACAGTCCAACAGTATGCAGGAATATATTGAGGATGTTAAGACTCTTTTGGATCAGTCTGTCCTGCCAGAAGAAGTAAATTAGTGGGACATTTTAAATCGTTGATCCAAGCTAAAATCCCAATTCAACAATAATCCGGGGTACAAACCTCACAGAAGAACTCATTCCCTCTCAGTCCACAAAACCAAGATATCCAGGACACCTCCTCTGAGCTGCTCATCCTCCTGTCAAACCCAAACAAAGTTGCGGTGGACCAGGATTCATTTCACATCCTCACTAGTTGGCTAGCTAAAAACACACAGCTAAAAACCGGCACTTAAAATTCTGGGGATGCAAACTTCACAATATTTGATTCTAACATAAATTCAACAAAGTTGTTTTATCAGGAACTTTGGACAAAAATGTGATTATATTGTACATAATCTTTAATTTACGTTACCTTTGGTTTGCGTCTCTAACCCTGCTAACCTATGTTAGCTCCTGATCACACGCTAGCTTGCTAACAGTTAGCGTGTATTAGCATTAACACGTAACGTTACACTAGAGATTGAGTGGAAATTAATTATTGTAATTGCAATATGTATATGGGGGAACTGTTTCCCATATGCACATAACTGTTTACAGAAAGTCACGTTTACTCACCCTTTTCTCTGTTTGTTAACACATCAACTTGCAAGCTTAGCTAGTTTATCCTCGCTCTCGTCTCTAGTTGACAACTACCGCTTCCGGTCAACGACAGTTTTCAAAATAAAGTTCCTCATGACGCATAGGCAGTGAAAGAAGTATAACATCTGTTTGATGTAAACCAAAACCAAAAGGATAGGAACAAAAAAATGTTTCATTCACCTTTTAATGAATTTCCAACAAAACTAAGAAAGAATACATTACTGTGGGTTTTAAATATGTTCAAACACACCTTACTTAAAACATTGTGATATTCCTGTATTTGTATAGCAATAAGGCAACGACCACTCCCATGTACATTGTGTACATAATTAGATTTTTTATTTAACTATGCAGCTAAAGCAACAGCCTACACCTGGGTTTTAAGGAGACTCATTTACAAAGTAGTTAGTTGCCTATAATGTGGGAGATCAGTACTGTGGTCATAATCACATAAATCAGAATGCACAAACATTAATATAACTATAAAAAATGCACTTTTTACAATATGTTTTCCCATTGTCATGAACTTTGAAGAATTTAGGTGATGTTTCAATCTGTAAAAAAGGAATAAGCCTAATAGCAGCCATTCCCTGATGGGATGGAGAGCTCCTTCAGGGCAGGTCTGAAAAGGTTTTGCGACGGGGGGGTTCCACATCTTGGGGTTCCTGCTCCTTTCCCATGCCTTCAAACATCAAGATCCTTAAATGAAGAAAATTACTTGTCAGCTGTTATATGAAACATAAAAAATAACCACCAGACATCTTAGGCATTTATAGATTGTTATCAAGACAAATGTATTTTTGATACCAAACTAGTAGTCTGATCAGCTAGATTTAAGCTTAAGGCCATCAACATCACTTGTATTTTTGTACAAAGTCCAGCATCTATTTATTCTTTAATAATTTGGGCACTTAATCTTCCCTTAGCCCTTCTCTTCCTGTGACCAAACTCTCCACCCATTCTCTGAATTCACTGATATTTACTCACAGTTTTAAAATTGCATTTTTCTTGCCCAGCATCATTTTCAGGAAGTCGTGGTAGCTGATGGTGTCTTTCGATGTCCCTCCAACCACCTCTTGCATCATCTTTTTCAGCTCTAAGTGAGTCTTGGCCATTCCGAGTTTTTCCAGCATTCGTTTTAACCCCATTATATCTATAACATTGATAGTCCAAAGAAATAAAATAAGTAAGTGCTTATATACTATATATATATATATATATATATATATATATATATAGATATATGGTCTGTAAATATAGCTGTGTTGTGAGTCACAACGGAAAGCAACAGATGACAACTGTAGCTATAAATACTTTGAGGCTTTTTCAGATGGGTGCAATTTTACCTATATCTCCTTTGTCGTTAAGGTCAAACTCCATGTATTTCTCTGTAATACAAGCAAATATAATCTCATTCCCATGTATGACCATGCACTGAATGATAACAATTCATATAACAAAACAACTACTCACTTTTAAACAGTTCAAGCTTTGAGCTAAGGTCTTCCTCTTCTGCATACTGGGGATCCTCGAGAAAAGCCTGGGGGAGTGATAGTTAAATGATACCAATAGATCAAAACATTATTATTGATATCACATTGTGTGTCTAGCCCCTGTGTGTAGAAAAAAATATTCCAAAAGCCATTTCTCTCTATTGTAATCAACTTTTTCTAAAGACATCAACTCACCTCATTGATAGAGTTGAGTTTTTCCTCCTGTTGAGACTTGAGAAGACCATATGCTTTACCTCCTGTGAGAAACAAACAAACAACAAGCAGGAGTCTTACAAATCATTCGTTAAATAAATACAAAATGCACTATTTTATCGATATAGTAGAACAAAGGCAAACTAACCTTGAGCTCTGTCCATTTCTTAGCACAACGTTGAGAGCCTGTGAAACCAACCCTGAGTGTGAAAAGCTATGGTGTTGTTGTATCTGTAAATCAAGCCACATGAGGAAGTTGAAGTGACAAAGTTTCAGTTAGCATTAGTGAAGTTCCCCTGTCATATTTAAGGCAGCAGCAAAGAGAGGTCAGCTGGGGGGTGCAAATCATTCACACACAGGTTGAATTTCACCAGACGTAGCGGGGAAGAAACTGTTGTATTGCTAAATGATAGAAGTTTGTATACAGGATCGCAACTGCGTAATGGCCAGGATGGACTCTGAAACATGATGCATCACCACTGGTTTCAAAAATAAAATTACATTTTATTTAAGGAAGGAAGAGTGATGCAGCAGGGAGAACTGTGTCTTTGGAAGTACATATTACTTAGCAAAAATAATCTGCTTATGTTAAACTTATTATTCAGGAAACTTTTACTGAGTGAGGTTCTCTTTTTTGGGAAAACTCCAACCTCACGCAATTACTTTTTCACTTTCCCTTCTCACATTTAAATGTCTGCCCTTATGGCTATTTGTCATTTTGATGTAACAGTGGACGAAAGTACCTCTTTCCAAAAAGATACAATGGTATACATCTATCCAGATCTTCATATCATATCATATAGAAAACAAATTAAAAGATCCAGTCTGTAATCTTCTGCACACTGTCTTTATCTCTGACAAACACAAACATATTTCACCCTTTGACAGTATCATATTTTTGTGCATTCATTACAGTGCAGTGTTTTGTTTTTGCCACACGGTGGCTCTATTGGCCCCACAATCAGAGAAACAGAAAGAAACCTGTTACAGTTTCATATTGAGACTTGTGTGCAACTTACAGAACTGAGACTAGGAAGAGACAATAAACAGGTCTTGAAGTCAATAATCTTTTGTCCGTCCACTCGGCTACATCACAAAGAAAATGGCAAATTTTTATCTGCTGGGTTGCTTTTTGTTAGTTCTGTTCATGGTCATATCAGAGTGCAGAGGTGAGTAGGTCACGGAATAACTTCTTCACCACATTCAACCAATGAATATTATAAATGCATTTTCTTTTTTATAGAGTAGAGTAGTAGTAGTAGTAAACTTAAAAGGTGTCATATGTACCCAACCTATTTAATAATATTTTTGAACACCTTTGTGAAATCTTGAATTATCTGTCTTACAGCTCAGACAGTGCTTTACGCTACAAACCTTATATGCAATATGTACTCTAGGTCTTTTTCTTCAACTGATTCTAATCCTTATTTCATTATTAATTTATCCTTATAAAGACAGTTCACCAGTGATTGAGTCTGTGTCTGCTCCTCAAGAAGAAGATGTAGCCCTCCCTTGTTTTAATTCTAGCGTGATGAAGCCAGAGAGCTGCAACAGAGTGAAATTGATAAAGTTTGCCACAGATTCCAGTCAAGTGAAGGTTATCCTTGCCAGGCCTCAAACAGCCAAGTTTCCAGATGCTGAACATGTAAAATGGCAACGTGATGAAAAAGGACAAATATCCCTTTTTCTGACAAAACTACAAAAATCTGATGAGGGACAGTACAGCTGTGAAATCTGGCAAGGCTGGGACTGTATTCATTTCAAAAACATATCTTTGAAAGTAAAAGGTAAGATCAAACATTTTATTCTCTTTATTCTCACTGTTTTACAAATGAATAATGTATCGCACAAATATCCTCTCTTTCAGAATGCAAAGTCCTTCAAGCAGTGAAGGCGGCGCCCAGCACACCCATTAACTTGACTTGCCCAGTGGACATAAAACCCCAAAATATCTCCTGGGTAATGCTGAAAGGAGGCAGCCCTGTATCTGTTAACTCTAAAAGGGTTAAAATGAATGGGACATCATTAACTATCCAGTCTGTGAATTACGGGGACGGTGGTTGGTACAGATGTAAATACATGCTTGAAAAAAGTCAGCGTTGCTTTGACATTAATGTACTGGTCCAAGGTAAGATTTTAAATTATTTGATATTATAATTGACAACAAATGACAATATAAATAACTCCTGTTTGCCTTTTCTATTTCCTTTATGAAGAAGAAAATGCTGTTGTGGCCACAACTGTTCCAGATATGTCAGTTCCAGGTATGTCAATTCCAGGTATGTATTTTTTAGTATTTTACATCTTGATTCAATTGCAATCAGTAATTTCCTGTTAAATTTGGTGTTGTAATTGCTTGGATTTGCTTTCTGTCCCCATCAGCACTGACAACCATTGAGATTCTTTCGACAACCACGGAGAAGGAGAGCAGTGTAGCATTAATTCTAGTGGTGGTTTCAGTCATCATTGCGATTGCCATAATTGCTGCGCCGATAGGACTGCTCATTTACTACAGACGTAACACCCAGAGAAATACACTGCAAATCCAGAGGCAGCCAGCAGGTTTGATCTGTCCAGACAATATTTTTTAATAATGACACAAATGCAGTACAGTGATGTGTTCTCACAGTTTCATGTTCTCTTGTTGTTAATCAGGTACTCGTATAGAGTCTTTCGATGGTTATGAAGTTGTGAATCTTACAACGTCAGAGGGTGAGTATCGTGTTTTTCTCTCACTACCTTCTTTAGTCGAGCCACTGTAACCTCTTCTGCTTTGTTTATGACTCTCCCTGAAAACCTTTAAACTTTTTTATCACAGCTAATGCAAACCAACGAGTCAACAGTCTGTACCAACAATTCCAGGATGAAAGCTTGTGTACTTGTAAGTTGTACTACTATCACACTTTAATTCTCATCATATTAAAATAGCCAAATAACAATTTTCTCTCCTTCATTGCAGTCCAGTTTTAGGAAAATTGAGTCTGCTCAAGAAAAAGAAGAGGCTTTCCCTTACTATCTAATCTAGATTGCGTGCTTACATTTATGCATTATGTAAAAACATGTAACATCTACTAAACTGTGAAGTGTCTGTTCCTTGTCTTGCAAGGAAGAGCCCCTTATACTGAGCAGCATGGAAAATGCTACCCACTGTTTTTTCTTAGAATGTTGAAAAGACTCTTTTATGTTGCTGTATCTAATCATCTGTAATCTTAAATGATGTTTAAAATGTAATCTTACAATAAAATATTTGATTAAATTTGAATATATATCTGTAGGATGATGAATGTTCATGACAAAGTCATAAACACTGATCTACTTTTCTCTTGCAAAATATTCCCTTTTAAAAAGTTTGGGAAAACATATTTTAGTGTATAGATGGTTGAAATTACTTAGAAAGATTATAATCTTGAGAGGGAAAAAACACTTTTATTTAGTTCTAGTTAACAGCCTGTAATAAATCATAGAAACTGTCAGTGGTGGTGGTAGTGGTAGCTTCTCGTTTGGTTTGTCTCTGCTGGTGCGGTTCCTCATTAGCTGCATCCAGAATGACCTCATAAACATGAGTCTGTAAAGAGGAGTGGTAGAGTTATTACATTAGCAGGTATAAGACTGACAAAAACCTCAAACCTCAATAATACCTCGATATTTTAGCACAATTATTTTTTGTCTTGTAAATGTTTCCTCTTACCATTACAATGCTTGTCTGGTCATTTCCTGCAAACAGAAAAGTAGTCAGGTATTATTTCACTTTCATCAAGGCTCCTGTATAGTAGTTTTACTGTGTGGTTCCTTACCTGCATTATTGATGTGCTTTCTCTTCATGTATATATAGAGTCCTCCAGCAGCTACACATATCAGGAGGCCCAGAGGAAGGGCTAACCACGCAGGTGTTCGCAGAGCTGTAGACATTATTATCCCAATTTTTACTCAGAAACAAGGGAGCATTTTGTCTTATGGCTGGATTTTATGGAAGAGAAAAAGCAAAAATAGCATGATGCATACTTACGGTCAGCAGTGCGCCACTTCTTTGATGCCATCACATCACCCTCTCTAAGCACCAGGCAGGCTAACTCATCCGATGTTGCTGACAAATCTGGGAGAAACAGCCTGTTAATGAGACTGTTACTGTCACTCATTAAATCACTCTCCCAGCTGTTTTGGCTTCTTCCAGACCAAGTTAAACTGAAGTCTTCTTCACATTCTTTAGAGCAGTTGAGCACACAAGTCAAGGTGGCATTATCTCCCCCTGGCTTGTACTCCAAAGTAACTATAAAGACAAACATGAGAGGGAATGTTTCAATAGCAGTGACTCAAAAGGTAAATGTTCATGCACTATTCATGCTCTGTTTTGACACTTACCATCGAGGGTATGCAGCCTGACTTTGTTAAACACTTTTTGCTGATCAGTGGACTCTGAACACTGGTAGTCCCCAGCATGCAATGCACTCACACTGCTAATGACCAGTGTCAAGTCTTTATTGACATGAACTGTTTGGCCTTCATGAAGTGAGACATCATCTGTTAGTGTTCTTTCACCCACAGCCCACTCCACGGTTCCACCCGCAAGAGAGGAAGTGTTGCCACAGAAGAGTGACACTGAGTCACCCACTGCAGCAAATACTTCCTCTATACCATCTGGGGGAAAGGGAGCACTGGTTAAACTTTATACATCTTAAACCACATCTTTCAATTTGAGTACACTAAAGTGGTGTTTAGTACCTTTTACTGTTGTTGTGTAACTGATGGCGGCTTTAATTGTGTTATTCTGAAATAGCTGGCATTTCCATTTCCTGTGATGGTCTGTCAGTTTCTTCTTGATGAACAGTTTAGAAAAGCATTCAGATTGGTTTTCAAAGCCAAATCTAGTTCCTTTTAATGGTGTGTTATCTTCAGTACTCCACTTGATATGCATCCCCCTGTTGTTGCAAGGCTTATATCCTGTATATGTGTTGAGGAAACAGTGAAGCTCTATTGTGTCTGTATGTGCACGATGCAAGTTCTCAATAACTGGGGAATGAAAACAAAAAAATGTAACTACCATGATACTGTCATCAGCTTATTCAAGAAATGGTTTGAGGTACAAAAGGACAACTCACTCACGTTCAAGAATCCGTAGCGAAACATTTGAATTGAGTGCTCCATTGTTACAAGAGTATAGTCGTGCATCGTTGAGTACCAGGTGATTAATCTTCAGAGAGCAGTCCCACTGCAGGTTGACCCTGAGGATGTTTGGAGCCGTCACACTTCCAGCTTTCACCACCTCAATAAGTGTTCCAAACTCTCCAGCCATGTTCCAGTTAATAGAGGAGCAGGATTCAATAGAGGGTATGTCACATGGTAAAAAAATACTATCTCCTGGTAAGGCAAACATCATCAAATGATCTGTTGGAGATGACAAAGAAACATTTCCCAATTCTGTCAAAAATCTAATTATTACCTACACCAGAGCGATGTTTATTAATAGTAATGAAAACTAAAGGTATTGGAAGTTTAATTAATTTTAATGGTAGAAAATGTCATCTTTTTCATGTAACACCTCAATATGAAAGAGAGAGAGAGAGCATTGGAATTATTAAGCCCTATCCCATATATATATATATAAATGTACAACATATTAACAAAATAATATTTTCTATTTTTTCATAATTACCAGATGACTGAAGTCCAGCTGCTGCGTGTGTCAGAGAAAGAAGGCAGAGTCTTAACAATGAAAAGAAAGCCATTCTTCTCTCAGAAGATGTCTTCTGACAGAAGAATACTTGCTTATTGCTAAATAATTTGCAAGTCACATTTTCAGGAAATGAAATTCAGGAAACTCATTTTTAGTTTAAGACCAGCCCATGAGGTGATCCCATGATCATCTTCTTACATTGCCACTGAAATATTACACAAACAATCACATTTGCTCAGAAAAGCTTTTAACTAAAAAACATTACATTGTTGTGGCACATTAGTGAAGCATTGGATAGAACGATCTAAAGGTGGCATTAGAAATCAATAAATTGTTCACAAATCTTCAGATTGTTTTCCAAATACATGTCTTTTTTCATTAAATTACACTTTACTACATGTTCAGTGTTTGTTCAGTGTTTTTGTCCACTAGGTGGTGCTGCTAGACTCTAGACGCTATGACAGATATTCTTATAAAATGACTGGCCAGTTTCATTTACCGTAAGCTGTACAACCCCCAGGTTCTAATTCAGGTTCAGGTTTTGGTTTTTATGCAGCTCTGCCTGAACAGTGTTCATCTGTTCAAGCTTTCTATATGACTCAGTTTCTGTTTCCATTGAGGAGAAATTTGATTACCCGCTTGACCATTCCTGTAATTTCCCCTGGCCCACTGGACCAATGAAGCTCATTATTGTGATATAGCTTTAACATTCACAAAAGGTCTAACAATGCAGTTTACTTTGACTTTATACAAGAGATTAAACAAATCATGGCGAAGATAAGCCTGGGTGTTATACATGTTTTAGTAATTATCAAATAAATAATTGAAATAAATTCATTAACAGTAGGATTTAATCAGGATATCCAATAAAACTGACAAGAAACATACACACAAGGGTTCTGTATTTTTACATGTAAAGTTAAAAACATTTTTTATTTGCACACAAAGTTAGCAGTACACCCTCTGTAGTTCAGGAATTATTCACAGCTCTTGGACTTGCTATAACTGTGTAGGACTTGACCTTGAGCACAACACTAGCAACTCCTCTCAGGTCGGGCAGAGAGGCCTCGCTCTCAGGAGGGATGAACTGGAAATCTCTCAACAAGTAGGCAGTGAACAGAAAGAGCTCCATTTTGGCAACAGACTCCCCCAGGCAGAGCCGGGCTCCCCCTCCGAAAGGGATGAGGGCACGGGTGGAGCCTCCTCCTCCTTCCAGAAAGCGCTCTGAAGGAGAGAGAAAAACAGCTTTTATTTTAGATCTGAGCCAAGTGAAAGGAATGCACTCACACACCTCACAGTCAGAGAGTAGTACCTGGTTTGAAGCTGTATGGGTCAGTCCAAACTGCTGGATCATGGTGAGCTCCAAACAGATTAGGAATGATGACTGTGTTCTTAGGGATGAAGTGACCTGCAATACTAAACATTTGCCATGATGCAAAGTAAAACGAGTGTTAGCAGGTAATATGTTGTGAAAAAACACCAATGCACCAATGCAATTGGACTTTGTGAAAACCTGCTCGCTGACAAACTTGATCCCAGCAGGAAGTATATCAATATAGCTTTTTTTATACTTTATACATATAACCATATATAGTGTTTTCTTACTGGTCTGGACCTAAATGCTAATAAAAGTTTAAAAAAATCAACAAATGTAGTGCTGTCTAGTTTATGTATTAATTTCTTAACTTGTTGGTTTGCAGGAATCAAGTATTTTCTATGCACAGGCTCTTTATGAGGAGCAACCGTTCAACCTGGGTCCCATGCTAGCTGTTTACTTTGTTTTCTCTTCCAGTCTTGGCATAAATGCCTTTCACATAAATTATTATTTTTGTTTTTCAAAGCAATTCGATTTCTTTCAAGCAATCCTTGCCTTATAGCCATATTGGAGTTGCCAAATGTCTAATATTTCACAACCCATCATGCTTCCAGGCTTGGTACTGGACCAAGGACTAAACATTATCACTGACTGAAATATTCTAGAGTACCAACCTGTACCTGTGCCTGCTTAATAATGTCTGATCTTATAGACAAATGATCTCAGTGACAAGTAATCGCTAATCTTCTTGTTCACTTTCTTTCATTATCATCGCATATTGTCAATCAGCTGACCTGCTGTCTCTGATGGCCCTGTGTGGCACCGCCAGCGGGGCAACTGGCCTGAGTCTGAGTACCTCGTGGATCAAAGAGCACAGGACAGGAAGTCTGTGTCTGTCACTGTACTTGGGGTACCGTCCCTCGAGCACTGTGCACAACTCCTCATACACCTTGGTCTGCACCTGAAGATTAACATGAGAGAGGAGAGAGACATTGAGATAGACTTCAGGGTGTGTAAATACTGTGTGTTATGGAAAATGGTGTGCCCTGCCTCTGGTCTATGCAATAGGAAGGCCACAGTCCAGTTCAGCCAGGCTGCAGTAGTCTCTGTCCCCCCGATGAGAAGGTCCACAGTGGCCATGTGAACATGAATATCTGTCAGGAGCTGGAGACATTAAGACATGTGATTTCCAATTCCAGCTCTAGTCTTAAATGAAATTAGATCTATCAATTTCATTATACAAATTTTAAGGAGTTTATTCATCCATTCCTTAAAGAAAAAACATGCTGTTAAAATAAAGAGGTGGTAATATAAAAACACCTACAATTCAAACTAATCCTCCACCTCTGTATTCACTGTTCTATGTACTTACCACTCCATCTTCTGTGTTGCGATGTTTGTCAAGGCCCTGGAGGAGGGATCCTGTGATAGCGTCCTCATTTTTTTTGTCTTGTGACTGCACAGATAACAAAGCAACAGCTGATTAAAGTTAACACAGGCTTTAGTAGATGTCATGTCTCATTTTATCTTAGTAGCTGCTTGATTTAACTGAATTTATCTCACACAAATGTTATCTAATCATGAAGCCTATAATTATTTTAACTTATAATCTGAACAATTTAGCATAATTAGACCAGTGACACATTTGACACAAAATTGGAATTCTTTTGCATTAATTTTTTTTTACTAACCTTGTAATTTTTAAGATGTTTACTTATAATTTCATCTCTCCTGGCCACCTCTTTCAGGAGACGAGAAAACACAGGATTGGGTAATTTCTTTGAGAAAACAAATTACATAATTTGTGAAATCCCATTCAGATGATGCTTTCCTGTGACCTGCACTCCAGATAGTGAATATTTACTCACTCTGAGCAGTGGAAAGGAGTCCAGAACAGAAATCCAAGAGGAGCCCCACAGAGCAACAATCTCATTGAGACAGCTGTGCAGCTGCTGCAGCTCCAAAGACCTCTTATCATACTAGAAAACAGAGATCAGTTTCTTAATACATTCTAGCCCTGAAATACACTCTCCTGCAACAGAAAATCGCATTATGAATTTCTAAAAAGGGCAACCAGGCAACCAAGCATTGGTCTGCCACAACCACAACTCCATCGCTAATACTCAGAGGTACAAACTGTGCAGTGGGGGGGGGGAATACTCACTTCCTTTCCAAAAGCCAAAGTGGTGATGACATTACTGGCTGCCACAGTGAAATCCTCTGAGAGATCTACAGCACTGCCTTGATAGTCCATCAACACCTAAATGGCGAACAAACAATGCTTATGTGACCACTTTGGAAATACCCCAACATTTGGTTTGCTGTCTGGATCTCTGCTATCACATTACAGGCTATTATGTTGCTTAGATACGGCATTATATTGTCCTCTGGTGTGCAGTTTTTTTTTCCTCTTGTGTTTTCCGCACCTTTCTCAGATGCAGTGCTTGTCCCTCAATCACGTCATGCAATGACTGCTGGCAGCAACGCTGCAAAGCACTGTGAACAAGACGACGATGTGCCCTCCATTCCTCATTATAGTCCCCCAGAGAGATGGTGCGCCCTCCTCCAGACACAATATCACCTGATATCAGTCAGGAGAGGTCATGAGGACATACAATAATACAATACTTATGTATACAATCATTACAAAAGATGTTTGAGTTATTTACCTGTGTATGAAAGTGGTCTACCAGCAAAGTCTGACCATTTTTTCACAAGTGCTTCTCTTATGATGTCACTACTATTTAGTACCACCATTGCTGAAAAAACACAACAGGGTTGTTGGTGTGGTGAACCTTACTATTTACAAAAGAATCATTAAAAAAGTTGATTTGCTTGTTTTTATGTAAGCATGTGATATAATAAAGTTGTGTATGATTACTTGTGTTTCCGCATTTAAGGCGGTAGATGTTTCCATACCGCTGTGCCAGATTGGTGAGGTGAATTGGCAGATGATCGTGTGTCAGCTCCATCATATTACCAATGAGGAAGAGGCTGGGAGGACCTGGGAGGGAAGGAGACGAGGAGCAGGGAAGGAACTGATAGAAATACTGCAGTAGTCTAGATTCAGCTACTGGATGGAGGAGGTTAAGAAAGACAAAGGTAAAACAGAGATAACAGTCATCAAAATCCATTAGAAGTAATCAAGTTAAGTTGTGTACTAGTTGGCCATGTGTTTAAAAAATTTCCAATTCATTAATCATTTTTATTTTCATAAAATTACAATACTTGATTGTACAACCAGCATGGTTAAATATAAATAGAAAGACAAAGACATACCTGTAGGCTTACTCCCATTGTGGTCTTCCTGTACACATTTGTCTCTCTGACCAGAAGTGCAAATCAGTAACATTAATAGCAGCACAACTAAGAACACAGCTCCCACACTGATCACTGATATTTCTATTGCCATGTCTTCTTGCTGGTGTCCCACTTAAGAGAGCTGGTCAGCACACTGCTTGCCACATTTATAGTCTCCTCATTAGTCTCTAAGCACGTCAGTCAGTTTGTGTTTGTTTGTGTTTTCCCTAAAATCAAGGGCGTCTAAATATCTATTTAGGTCAACATATCTGATAGTAAGATGAATGCAACACATGTAACAAGAGACAGCTTGATAAACGTGGCCCGGGACTTGCTGAAGGGCATGATAACACTTTTTCTTTATCTTGTGAGTGTAGGAATGAAAAAACTGCTTTCCGTCAGAGGACTTGGGTGTTTTAATTTACAAAGAAAACAACAACACTTCAGACCCACATTAGCCACATTTATTCCAATGGAGTGAGACAGTGCATATTTAATTACAGTAGTAGTGGGGTGGCATACCGTGGTGGTGCACAAGAAGGTACTAGAGTTAAAACAAAACTGTTGAAATGGAAGGGTCAGGTAGAACAGTACAACAGTATACAAAAAGTTGAAATAAAACATTTCTCCACTCTTTTGGTATATTTCCAGAAAAACAGATCAGAAAAAAATTCTTGCACATTGAATCAAATGCACTGATAGCTGTCATTATAGCTATCAAAACCACTGTACATGTAATTTCAGTTGCAAAGTGACATGCAGCAACTGTGAGATCCACTGTCTTCTGGATTTGTGGAGCCGTAATGTAATTCTGTGTCAGATGTAAGGTTTTTAGGTTAGAGAACCCATGAAGACTGATTTAGCCATGAGTGGCAGGAGAGAACCTGGATGGTCTGAACTTCATCTCAGTGAAGGGAATGGAGGCGTCTTTACCTTTCCAGTCTATCCAGACTATTCCCTGTATCACAACAGACATGGAAAAGAAGAAACACATTTTGTTAGTGTGCTATCATAGAATATTAAAAAAGTTAATCGATCCAGGTAGAGAGGTGACCTGTACCTGATTATTACTGTTGATGCCAAAAAGACCATTGAGGTTGGTCTTGTAGCAGTTCTTGTACCACCATCCTCCCATGTAGGCCCTTGCACAGTGGATCCCCAGAGGATCAGTGTCTTTGTCTCGGGTTGAGAATGGGCGCCCATTATGATACCTCATAGAATCACCTAAAAGATAAATCCAGGGACATTGAGGTATAAATTGTATAATATAGTGTGTGCTGCACCTGTCCAAGAAAATCCTACTTTTATTCAGTTTTCACCTGCAGTTCCAGTGTAGCCAGACACTGTAAGAGCATACTTCCTCTCTACTGAATCAATGGAGAAGTTGGCGTAGTGGGCGTAAGCGGTTTCATTTCCAGATCTCATATCCACTCTCAAACTCACGGGGCCGACACTGGTCAGGTTGTGAAGAAGCTCATTTCCTAATAGTGGCAGAAATGAAGAGTGAGCAATTTTAAAAAATATATATTCTGATGCAAATGTGACCATAACAACTTTGTTCAACTGTACCGAGCCAGAACTCTTCGCTGAGGTTTCCAAAACCAGCGCTGTATTCACTCCAGGTTCTGTAGAAATCCGTCTTGCCATTCATCCTCCTCTGGAACACCTAAAAACACACATCAGATTGATGTAATTTTCTAAATCCATTCAGCGTCTTCTTCAGTGCAAAGTTTGGTTCAGATAAGGGCAGTTTGTCTCACCGTCCAGCCACCTCCATCAGTCTCCATGTCACAGTAGACTCTGACCGCCTGTCCCTCTTTACCTTGCGGGAAGATATCCACCTCTCCTGACTGCAGAGCTCCGTTCAGCAGCTCCTGAGAGCACTCAGTAGGGAAAGGGAAGCGCAGTTTGCCTGAGGGATGAAATGACATGAAAAATATTATGATAAAGTATTGATAGCAGAGATAAATTAGCAGGAACTGCATTCCATAGATTACGATACCTGTGATGAATTCTGTGGTAACAAGAGATGTGTAGTGTCCATCTCTCTCTCCTTGTACCAACACAATATAGCGTGACATTGACAACAGTCCTGTCAGTTTATACTCTGTGACTGACGAATCCAGGATTACCTCCTAATGTATACACAGAAAAGCACCCAAAGTTAATGTCTTTGGCAATTCTGCAAATGCAGGGGCTGTCTTTGTATTGTATGTGCAAATGACAAGCAAATATCAGTCACCTTTGCCTCCTCTCCTGCCACCTGGTAGATCAGTCTGTAGCTGTGATAAACAACAGTGGAAGTTTTCCATGCTATCACTGCAGATCGAGCCCCCACCTCACTGGCTTTAACCACTGAAAGATGCAAAAATGCACAAGCATTTATTTCACACCACACAAACTCTGTAGACGTCAGCAAGTAAAAAAAGCCTGATTTTTTTTTTTTTTTATTTCGGTCTCTACTCACCATTAGCAGTAGTGAATGTAGTTGAGATGGCCATACTCTGGAGACTGTCCTTCTGGCTCAGGACTTTGACTGTGTACAAGGTGCCTCTCTGCAGGCCCCTCAGCTGGTGTTCCACTGAGTTTCCAGACAGCATCACTGTCACTGTCACATTAGGAGCTGTAGAAAGAAGGAAAATTAATAATACTTAGCTTAGTCATTAGCGCCTTGTCATTAGTCATTAGGTCGATGTTGGCCACACTCACTCTTGGAGGACTCATAGCTAATGATGAAGCGGTCTACTTTTCCCAGACTGGGTGTCCATTGCAGCACAGCTCTGGTATCTGTCACATTGACAACTTGCAGATGTGTTGGAGGGGCAGGCACTGCAGGCAACACACAATCCATATTGTGTTTATTGCTGTTTTCACATTCTAAGATAAAAATATAACATTAAGCTTATCTGACTTTGTACCCGTGGTGATAATGGATGTGAGGGCATCACTCTGGGCTCTGCCTTGTTTAGCAGTTACAGTGACAATGTAGGAGGATCCAGCTGACAACTTGGACAGAACCACGTAAGATTGCTGAGAGTCCACAGTCACAAAGCGGTTCTCCCCTAGCAGGATGACACATCACAAATATTACACTGACTGATATTAAACAAGAGGATTTTGACCTGAGATGCATTATGCAAAGCCTTTGACAGACCTGTGATAATGTTGGTATATGTGACCCTGAAGCCTGTGAATGGGGTCTTTGGTTTGGACCAGGAAACAGTGAAAGAAGACTCTGTTACATTGCTGAAAACCATCTCTGTGGCTGGCTCAGGACCTGGTGACAGAAGACATTTTTAAAATCCTTTTGAATCATCAACACACATCCATACTGTATTCATTACTCCCAGCAAGGATTTAGCATAAATAACAAATGTGGTGCAACTTTAATTACCTGTAATTGCAGTTACTCTGTGAATCTTTGATCTTCTCTCAGCTGCAGCACCATAAATGTGCAGGACATAGCCTGTGTTTGCCCGAAGGTTACTGAACTCCACAGAGCGTACGCTGCCAGGGACTACCATGGAGATCCTCTTGGTTTCAGCTTTGCCTCTAGATGCTACAGCTTTACCAGAGGTGACAGTTGTGTTGGTGCTCTCGCTCTGTACCTGGACCACAGTTGTGTTCTTAGCTGTGGAGGTCTTGTCCCCTTCAAGAGCTTCCTCTTCGAACTCCTCGTGGTCGTCTTCGTCATCCCCTGTCCGTGGTTCTCTTCTGATCACAGTGAAGTTCTTGAACATCCCTTGTGGAGCTGACCATGTGACAGTGAAGCTGTAGGAAGAGATGTTTACAACTTTTACAGAACCTAATCCAGACCCTCCCATCCTCTTTGCACTCCCAGAGCCATGGATAGTTGTTTTGTTCTGCAGAACTCGAGCCTCGCCTGACGTTGCTGCAATGGTTGCATTCACTAAATACTGACTCCTCTGTTTCTCTTTTCCAGTCTTTCCAGCTTCAGTGTTTCTGCTGTCAACAGATTGCACATTTGTATTGTCTACTTTGACCTTCTTGATTTGTTTCTGTCCAGATGACTGAGTGACGTTCTTCTCAGCCAGTGTGGACTGCTCAATGGTCTTTCCTGCTCTGGTTTTGTTTGTTCCCATGACCTTTGACAGAACTGTCACAATTTTAGCTGTGCCATTAGATTTCTTCACGTTACTTTGGGTCACATTGGTTTGAGGTTCATCTTTTAGTTGGTCAGATTTGGGATATGTTTTACTGGTAATTGTTTCCTTAACAAGTTTGACATCATTTTTTTGGAGGACCTTTTTAGAGGTCATGACTGTTGTTTTGCCTTTCCGGGCCTCTTCTTGCTTTCTTCCCTCATGTTTCAACAGAACTTGAGCAACAGTTGGACGACTGATCTTTTTGGCGCTTGAAGAGTCTTTAACAGTTATTTTCTTAACAGAAGCTTCTTGTTTTGATTCTGTTTTAACAAGACCTGCTTTAGCATTAGTAGCCACTTTGGGTTTAGCGTCAGTGTCTTTGGCTTCAGACCCCTTCTTCTGCTCCTTTTTCTGGAAGAGTGTTTGCTCTACTTTGGCGGTTTTCCCCTGCACATTTTCCTTGTCTTTATTCACTTGCAGGGTCACTGTTTCCACTGTTACCTTGACCTTTCCCTTGGCAGCTTCTGAAATTGCAAAGTAGGGGTAATCAAAGTGTGAATGAGATATTAGTCAAAGTCGAAGTAAAAAATATCTTTCTCTCACTTGAAAATATGTGTCTCTTATATTACCAGATGCAAATAACAGTGCAGACTCTCACTTACTTTTATTACACTCAGCTCCTTGTGCACACTTACTGCAGTCTGGACCCGTGAATCCCTCTTGGCAGATACATTTCCCCTTCTGACATTCCCCATTGCCACTACAGTCATTTGGACAATTTGCAGAACATGGACCTGGGCAGCAAAAAAAATAAATCTAAATTATAAAGTCCACATCTCTAATGAACTGTGTCAAATATAATAATCTGGTGAATATGAGAGAATCATACATTTCTCTTTTAGGGAGGACATCTCTCTTTCCAGTCGAGCCACACGTCCTTTCAGTGTAGCCATCTCAGACTCACATCCCCCAGTGCAGCTGCCGGGCAACAAGCTGATCTTATGAGTCATCACAAGAGGAGCTCCAGGCTTCAGCTTCAGCTCCTGCTCCTTGGTGCTGCTTGAGTCACAGCCATCACTGATGACCACCTTGATTGGCTGTGTTGGGGCAGGCTTTTCTTTGGGAGCTTTGATTACAGTGGTCTGATTGGTAGAGGGTGTGACCCTCTCTTTATCAGCTGCAGGACCACCATCTGTAGTGGCCTTTGCTGGTGTTGACAGAGCAGTTTGAACTACTGTGGGGGCTGCCTTGTCTTTGGAGTTCTTTACATCACTGGTGGAGGTAGATTTTGCTACAACAGTCTGATTGACGGAAGCTGTGGGCTTGTTTTTGGTGGTCTTAGCGCCACTGGCAGGAGCAGACTTTGGAGATATTGACTGAACATTTTGACCTACAGTGGGGGCAGGCTTGTCTTTGGCAGTCTTCCCATCACTGGTTGAAGGAGATTTCATTGAAATAGTCTGATTGATCGCAGGTTGGAGTTTGTCTTTGGTGGCTTTAGCTGAAGCAGACTTTGTGGAGGCTGACTGAACATTTGGAGCTCCAGTGGGGGCAGGCTTGTCTTTGGTAGACTTCGCTTCACTAGCTGAAGGGGATTTAGCTAAAACAGTTTGATTGACTGAGACTGTGTGCTTGTCTTTGTTGGGGATGGTGCCAGTGACTGTAGTAGTCTTTACTGCTGCTGACGGAGTGGTTTGAATTACTGCTGGGCCGGGCTTGCTTTTGGTGGTTGCTGGAGTGGGTAAAGCTGTCTGATTGACTGTGTTTGGCTTTAGGGTTGGGCGAACGGTTTGTTTGGCGAGAGCAGCAGTGGTTTTTGGTTTTGACAGGGTGAAAGCGGCATTGGGTTTGGTCACGTCACTTCCTGTCGAGTTTCTCCTCTCATTGGTCGTGGATTGAAAGGAGGGAAATGGGGTGAGAAGGAGGAGAAGTCCTAGAGTAAACAGCATTTTGAGCCAGGAGCGGTAGCCAGAGATGGTATTGCCTTTGGTGTATCTGTATGTATGTTACTGTAAAATTATGAACTCCTTCCTCTATATTTCTGTGACCACTTGTAAACGGGATTATGCCAGGTCTCTCCTGGAAATGAAGAAAATGAAAGAGCTGAGTTATGACTGAGTTTAATGCATGAAATTTGATGGCAAATCATTTTAGAACTTTTTTTTAAGAGCTTTGCTGGGCAAACCTGCTCTTTTTCGGCCAGCTTCACATTCACAGAGTTCCCATTCACACTTTGATGCACCCCTAAAACCTTCTACTGGCTATTAAGAAGCTTCATTTAGAGCAATTTCAGGTTTCATCACTTGCTCAAAAGTGACCTGACAGCAATGGCTAAAGAAAGGGACTGCAGTACTTACTTTTTTCCTTTAATTTAGCTGATTCATAGCACAAGTTCTCTAAAAGTTCTATACTGTGATCTGACATTTACAAAGATTAACTGAGCAAAATCAGTCACAGGAGATGGAAGCTATAAGAGCATATCAAAACATTTCTGAGGTACTTGTGCAAGACATCTTAATGAAAAAGGATATTATTAACCTCTTTTTAGACTGTACATACTGGTAAACTTTTAAAAGTAAAGAAAAACACAAATTGAAGAATTGCAGCAGTGTTCCAATCATCCATAATGGTTAATTCAATGGCTTGCCAAACCAAGTCAAGTCTAAATTGGCTGATTTTGAACAGGAAGGAAGAAGGTGACTTGAGTGGGAAGTCTCTGCTGGAGAGACCATGCAGAGAGGTAACAGAGCGTTACTGTATAGAACTGTGGGACACTGTACGTCTTTCACTATACAGAAGGTTACATACTCCGCTGCACCCACAACTCATAAAACCACTAAAAGAAATATGTCAGGCCATGGCTTTAAATCTGTAGAAAATCCAATAAATCATGCAGCGTGTAAACACATTACTTTGCGACACAGCAAGCTGATTTTGTTACATCTGGGTGCATGAAGTAATTGACTAATTGGCTGCAGTATTAACTGAATTAGCCCATCTTTACTTTTAAAATATGTATATTTTACATATATATCATATATCATACAACCCATTTTTTTATAAAATGAAAAAATAGTAAATACATTTTAAGACAAATTAAGGTAAATTATAGTAGGTCAGGCTATGCTACATTATGTATGCACACTAAAAATGACATATCTTGTTCACCACTCACTGCAGCTAGTACAGTTTAACTGTTATAGTCCATTTAGCAGCTAAAACACATATCATATCATACAACAACATGACCTTATCTATCAAATAATATGTGCAGCTATGCACTATAAATGCATTATGATGTGAAGGAATATCAACAGACACCAACAACAATATTCATGCAAATGACTGATCATAGTTACATAGGAAAAAACAAACTTACTAGAATAATGATTCTTTTTATCTCTTTCTTTGTGTTGCTCCCTCCATCTGAAAAGCTCTCGTAGACTTGCTGGATATGATCTGGAAGGAAAGAGGTGAGAGAAAGGACCACCACTAGAAAGGAGGAGAGTGATAAAGTCCGCTGCTACTTAAGGACCCCCCTCCTCCTTTCTCCACGCCTAGTGGTCCCACTCTCTCAACCACCATGGAAAATATTTGTATTGGACAAAAAAAGTTTTTAAATTTGTATACAGATTTGCATATCAAATGTGATCAACTACTCTCTTGTATTCAGTTTTTTCTGTTCTTTTATTTTTCTGTAATGTTTTTTAATCTTCATAATTTGCCATAAATGCTTAAATGCATAAACCTTTTGTGTGTAATCTAATATCAAATGCGATCAAACTTTTATTGAACATATTGAAACTGCACGTGTGCTCTGAGACTGTATGCAGTACATGCTGGGACATTTTTCATGTTCTTACTGTAACACAAAAATAACCTGCATGTCAGCTTTGCATGGCTGATGACAGTTATCCCAGTGTCTGCTGTATGTACCTTGACTTATACCAGACTTTGCTAACACCTAGACACAGCCTCGATTGAATAAAGCCCCGGCCTGAGAATCATGATTCAGCTGGAATACATAGCATAACACTGCAGGTATTCAGTGCTGACTCTGGGGGACAGGAACCTCTCGCTATATGAATTGGCTGTTTGTTGGAAGTAATGAGATGTAACTACGTGGGAGTTATGTAAGTGACCAAATATCCACCAGATTTAAGCAATGCTCTGTGAAGGCTCTGAATCTCTGACCAAATGGCCACCCACCATCCCACCTTTTGTAAACCACATGAAGACAAGTATATCAAAGGTCTAGAGCAAACAGGGCGTATAAGTGACATTTTCCTAATTTTACAGGAGAGCAAAAACAAAAGTCTTTATCAGTGTACCTTAATATACAGATTATGTAAGACACACTGACATCGATTCATTATTTTATTCTTTTTGTTGTTCCTGTAAAGTCATACTACAACAGATTGCAAGCCATGGTTAATCTTCATTTATTTTTATTTTAAATTCATATCATTCATAATACATCCTCCAGAGCTGTTTAAAAAGATCCTCTGGTTACAGACAAAAACAGTTATAGGTCACATGTGGCTTCACTCACCTCATGTGTCTAATGTGTAGTACTTTAGCTCCATTTTTTAAACTGTGTTGTTGAATCTATACATGATAAAAAATAAATTTTTGCCATCATATTATTTAGTTACTAAGACATTGCGCATGCAAAAATATTTTGGCACAACAGCTGTGAAACTGTGGTCAAGGCTGAAGAAACAGCTCTCTCATATTCTATTATTGTTACTCACTCTATATATGTTGGTGTGTATGTAAGAACCCACGCAGTAAAAACATATATTTACCGGCAGATATTTTAGTTGCAAATGCTTTTAGCTAACATGTTTTTCTTGGCAAGTACAGCATGTTCTGATACTGAAAGACAACCAACCTACCGTACATGCAGTGTTACAAGGTAATACTGAATAAATTGGGAAATAATGTAGTTATTATTGTTATTCCAGGTCTGTGGAAATGGTAGATGAACAGCTGATGCTGCAAAGTGAGCCAGTCAGACTGAACAGTAGATGTAGATGTTAATGCAGGGGAGTTGTGTATGAATATTCTCACTCAAATAACTTCTGATACACCTTGATTTATATCAAAGCTGGGCCTTTGGTGGATTAATCCCCTTCTCAATGTAATTAGAGGATATAAATAAAATGATGCACATCTGGCCATACCAAGAAAACTACTGAAGGTAAAGGGCAGCCAATAATTCAACAAAATTAAAAACAAAGTTATCACATTTGCAGACCCCAAAAATGTAAATCAGACATGATCAAAATGTTAATAAAAATTCTCCAACACACTTTGATATACAGTCCAGGCACACACATGCATACAAAAATACAAGCTAAACCACATATTACAATTTGTACTAACTGTTTTGCATGCATGGTACACCTCTTTATAAGATGCGTAACCTTACATGCACACACACTGATTCCTTTTTCATGACATGCACTGCGTCTGTTCATAACTTTGATAACGTGCACAATAATAGGACCCTGAAACTGAAGCAACTAGATGGAATTCAGCCATCATTAATTGGATTATTTACACCTGTGCTTTTCCTACTGTGACATGTCAAAATATCTTCTGTGAAAATAATAACAGACCAAGTCACCTTGATACCGAAAACAAAGAGGAATTGTCAGTGTAGTGTGGATTCCTGAGTGGGTGGTCCCTCTCCATCAGTACCTCCATCTGCTGGCAGCCTCCAGGAGCAGCTCCGCCTTCACTTTTCTCCTTTCTACACCATAGACCACCCTCAAACCGCTGACCCTGTGTTGGCCTTTGGAAAAATTGGCTAGAGACACACCTTCAGCAACTGAAGTTACTGCACACCTAACAAAATACACCTGGTGTTACAAGCACATTTCACAATTCCCCTGCCAGAGCTCACAGTTGATGCTAAAGTATATTTTGTGCATGGGAGGAGGTGAGCATGTACTCATGGAATATATGTGTTTTATGATAAAAAATCTCTTGTGGAAATCCACAGATCTGACAAAATATAAATCATCATCCACTCATCACCATCAATCTATCTTTTTTGAGAGAATATTTGTGTTTTATTGTGTTGCCCAGCCTGAGCAGCAACTAATCTACTACTACTAGTACCACTACTGTGACTACTTGTGACTGACTCAAAAGCACAAGTCTACACTGCTTGGTCATGACAAGCCATTGATTACCTTGAGAAGGCTACAGTAAAATGAAGACTTTTTCAACTGTTCTGTTGCTGTTGGCTACTGACGCTGCACTAAAGTAATCCCAAGATGAAAATGTGTGATGCTGAAGTCTGCGTATTTATTTACCCTTTATTGATTCAAATTTAATGAAATGTCTAATGGCACAGGCTGAAACAGTGCAGGCATTTATCTGGCTGTGATTGAAGTGATGGTCAGTACTCCCATGTTGCTTACATTGGACCTGGCCTCAGAGATTAGAATAATATAAGCGCATAAGCCCTTGCTTGTTCCTCGCCTCTCAACCCATGCCCCCCCACTCCTACTCCTGCTGCACTGCTTGTCCCACTGCCCCTCATTTTCTCCCAGTACCTCTCTCTGCATCACCTACAACTCAACACGTTTTTTTGAAATATAATTGCACTGAGAATCATCTTCAGCATGTTTCTAGGTGGAGCACATTTGAGAAGAGGACTATTACCTCTCTAAAACTAATAAGGAGCTACTATCCTTATGAGGTGATGACAGATCCAAATCCTGTCACTGTGTACCTCCACTGTCTATCGTGCAGACTGTTATGCCATTTTATGTGTATGCACTGTGCTAACCCCAAATCACTCCCCCTCTCCCCTCTTCCTCACCTTGCAGATGTTAAGTAAGGAGGGGGATAACGTTGAGGGGGGTGGTGTTGAGTACAGAGCCCCCCTCTCAGATCCTTTACTGCCAGTAAAAAAAAAAAAAAAAAAACGCACAAGAATAAATATATTCAGCAGGAAAGCTAAATCAAACCATTACACTGAATCACACTATTTGGAAATACATGAAAGAGCCAATGTTTGATTGTGGATGCACTCTTTGTTTTCTCTGTTGCTATGTTGAGTTTGATTTCAAATAATTATCTCAAAATGTATGTATCAGTGCTCCAACCAGTTATATACATACAAAGACATTTGCCAGACAACATTATAAGGTGTTTTTTTATTTATACACTGGTAAATGGTTACATTGCAAGGAGTAAAATTTCAAATGACTTTTATATGCTCTATGCTGTCATGACAAAACAGTAAAAAATAAGAGAGCTTTCAACACTGTGAGATGATGACTGTGCAACTCATTGGAAACTACAATAACTGAGCTACACTAAACTGACAATTAAAGTTAAATGAAACAGCTTCCTGTTTCACTGTCTGCAGCCATCAATCTTGTACTCATCTGTAAATGAAAGAAACCCGTTACAAGCTTGTTTGTGTGAAGTTCTTTTACATTCTTTTTCCGAAGGATTTCTTTCAACCCAGGTGTTTGATTCCAACAAATACTGCATCCTATAAAAAGAGGGACAGAGTGAACACGATGAGAATAAATCAGAGTAAAATTATACTTCTTTTATTGACTATACTTACATTCCATGTGAGTCCGTTGTGGATCCGTCTTTGCCCATGATGAGATACTGTTTTCCCAAGTCCAGCAGTCCTTTACACTGACGTCTCTTAGCAAACACTCGAACAGAATCCTCACCCACAAGGAAATCCCCATCTGACAGATGATCGTAATTATCATTTTTTAAGTCTAAACTATTTTAAGGTCAGCGTTACAGCGCCTGCTAACGCTTGTGGTTAAAGTTTACTTACTTGATCTGAGTACATCCTTTACATTCATTTTGTACAGCTCAAAGTTACTCTTCATAGAAACACTGACAACTTCAACAATGTATGCTGAAATAAAACAAAAACATTTATCAACAACCATTAGCCTGAACCTTTATATTACATCACTGTAGTATACTATCACAATATAAAAGAATGGATTCTTTATAGTCAAGTTATTATTAGATACTTTACACTATAATGTCTTGTGTGCAGTACTGACCGTAATCTACTGTAGGGAAGAAGCAAGCATGTTGTAAACGGACACTCTTTGTGATTCTTTGAGGTTGTGTTTGGAATGTTTTTTGTATTTTATGACAGGGTCCTAAAGAAAAGAGAAACAAAATGCAATTTTAGTGGTTTACACAAATCTGAATGGCAAAGCTACATTTATTCTCAGGTGTTTGGCAGTGTGGGTCTTAAGAGTAATGGCCTACTTTCTGCACATTGGCACACATCCTCTGAACACAGTTTGGAGACCATCTTGCTTCTTTGGGGGGCGGAGTAGAACACAGTGCACTTTATGTCTGCAATGAAAGAACAAATAGTTCATAAATTCCTGATAAATAGAAAAACATGTCCCCTCTGTCCTGACAAAAAAATGCAGAAAATATCAAATAAAAGCTTACTTGGTTCATAATAATC